AACCTGCTCCCGAGCAGGTTTACGCTTACGGCTCTGTTGCTATGACAGCAAGTCCCGGATGAGCTTCGGGGAACCGAACGATCCGGGATCACGCGAAATCGTCAACAATCTAATCCAGCTAACTTACTTAGCGCAGTACGAAGAACAGGCCCCAGGTTTGCACACACAGTAGCTGGTATTTTGGCCCATTCCTCCATGCAGATCTTCTCGAGAGCAGTGATGTTTTGGGGCTGTCGCCGAGCAACACGGACTTTCAACTCCCGCCACAGATTTTCTATGGGGTTGAGGTCTGGAGACTGGCTAGGCCACTCCAGGACTTTCAAATGCTTCTTACGGAGCCACTCCTTTGTTGCCCGGGCGGTGTGTTTTGGATCATTGTCATGTTGGAAGACCCAGCCTCGTTTCATCTTCAAAGTTCTCACTGATGGAAGGAGGTTTTGGCTCAAAATCTCACGATACATGGCCCCATTCATTCTGTCCTTAACACGGATCAGTCGTCCTGTCCCCTTGGCAGAAAAACAGCCCCATAGCATGATGTTTCCACCCCCATGCTTCACAGTAGGTATGGTGTTCTTGGGATGCAACTCAGTATTCTTCTTCCTCCAAACACGACGAGTTGAGTTTATACCAAAAAGTTCTACTTTGGTTTCATCTGACCACATGACATTCTCCCAATCCTCTGCTGTATCATCCATGTGCTCTCTGGCAAACTTCAGACGGGCCTGGACATGCACTGGCTTCAGCAGCGGAACACGTCTGGCACTGCGGGATTTGATTCCCTGCCGTTGTAGTGTGTTACTGATGGTGACCTTTGTTACTTTGGTCCCAGCTCTCTGCAGGTCATTCACCAGGTCCCCACGTGTGGTTCTGGGATCTTTGCTCACCGTTCTCATGATCATTTTGACCCCACGGGATGAGATCTTGCGTGGAGCCCCAGATCGAGGGAGATTATCAGTGGTCTTGTATGTCTTCCATTTTCTGATGATTGCTCCCACAGTTGATTTTTTCACACCAAGCTGCTTGCCTATTGTAGATTCACTCTTCCCAGTCTGGTGCAGGTCTACAATACTTTTCCTGGTGTCCTTCGAAAGCTCTTTGGTCTTGGCCATGGCGGCGTTTGGAGTCTGACTGTTTGAGGCTGTGGACAGGTGTCTTTTATACAGATGATGAGTTCAAACAGGTGCCATTCATACAGGTAACGAGTGGGGGACAGAAAAGCTTCTTACAGAAGACGTTACAGGTCTGTGAGAGCCAGAGATTTTCCTTGTTTAAGGTGACCAAATACTTATTTTCCACCCTGATTTACGAATAAATTCTTTACAAATCCTACCATGTGGATTCATGGATATTTTTTTTCACATTCTGTCTCTCACAGTTGAAGTGTACCTCTGGTGCAAATTACTGACCTCTGTCATCATTTTAAGTGGGGGAACTTGCACAATCGGTGGCTGACTAAATACTTTTTTGCCCCACTGTATGAATACTTCTGCTCAATGTCTTTGAATGGTTGATACTGTGTATCATGCTTCTCTGAGGTTCATCACTAACCGCAAATTTCAGACTCACCCTGTAAGTTATACTCTCAGGTAGGATGGCCTGCTTTGGCAAGTCGGAGGAACTTTTATCTATATAGTTTTATATATAAAGCAATACTTGGGTTGCTACCTTCTTATATATGTTCCCTGCTTACAATGAAACATGCTGGTCAGTATTCTCTTCGTCTGCATGGTTACTTGTTGCTTTCTGTTCCATTTGCCTGAACTGAATTTGGTAAAAGAGCTTTTGTCCACTTAGCATCCTCGGCTTGGAACAAACTGCAGAACGAATGGAAAATGACTGAATTCATTTTATTAAGTGCTTTTAAATCTAAACTACGAATCCTTAAGGCCAAGTCCATAACATGCAACTGTTTCAATTAGATTGATTGTCATTTCAACTGATTTTTTTATTTTTATTTGAATTTAATTTAATTTTTTCATTTATTTTTGCATGTGTGTTGTTGCTGCCTGTGTTTAATTGAGTAATTTCTGTAACTGTGAGACACTTGCTGCTGCCTATCTTGGCCAGGTCTCCCTTGAAAAAGAGGTTTTTAATCTCAACGGGATCTTCTTGTTCTCAGAAAAACATAAAGGTCACTGAAAGTAGCTGAAATTTAAGCTTGATTTTTAGTGCCTGAAGGTATCAATTTCAAGATTCTACATTGCCTCCTTCTCGAGTCACTGCATTCACAAACTTGGGTGTCCACTCTGCCCAGCTGCCTAGCAGGCTGATGACAACATAAGAAAAACTATAGGAAATCATGGCGCATTACTAGCGACCAAAGCAATCACTAGGAGGATTATGGTGCAGGAGCTTCTTTGCAGCAGTTTCACCCAGCAGGAGCAAAAACCCCTCCAAGAACAACCACCACTGACTTTGGTTGTATCACATCCAATATGGGGGACAACTCCTAGGCAATGTGTGCAAGACATCAGGTGAGAAATCTCAACACAAGTGGATAAAAGTAGCAGATATGGAATAGAACACGGACTGTAGAATGAACAGACACATGCAGTTAAAGTCACCTTTTCACATATGTGCTCATACACATCTCAGCATTTAAGTATTAGTTATTATTCATCTCTGGCTCTCTTCCACAGCATGTCGCGTCACCCCCAACCGGAAGATGGCCGCACCCTCCTGAGCCTGGTTCTGCTGGAGGTTTCTTCCTGTTAAAAGGGAGTTTTTCCTTCCTACTGTCGCCAAAGTGCTTGCTCATAGGGTCATATGACTGTTGGGGTTTTCTCTGCTTTTACCTTACAATAAAAAGCGCATTGAGGCAACTGTTGCTCTATATCAGGGGTCCCCAATCCCAGTCCACGAGGGCCGGTGTCCCTGCAGGTTTTAGATGTGTCCCTGATCCATCACAGCTGATTTAAATGGCTAAATGACCTCCTCAACATGTCTTAAAGTTCTCCAGAGGCCTGGTAATGAACTAATCATGTGATTCAGGTGTGTTGACCCAGGGTGAGATGTAAAACCTGCAGGGACACTGGCCCTTGTGGACTGGGATTGGGGACCCCTGCTCTATATGAATAAAACTGAACTGAATTAAAAGGCACTTTACAGTAAACTATCCCTAAGTAGCTAAACTGAATATCATGATAGCAATGCCAAAAGCCGTAACTACATATATAATTACACTACATCACAACCTTTTGTGTTATATTAGACTGTGATCAACTCCTGCCACATTGCTTCATTAACAATGCATCAAAGGAGGATGATAAACAAGGACAGAGCCCCCCTTCAGCATCATTGGAAGAGGAGCAGAGAGGGAGGGAGGGAGGGAGCTCCAGCCTACGTGAGTCCACTATAAATAAGCAGGAATGAAGGTCAGCAGTTGGCGAGCTGCAAAGGAGTTACCACAAACTGTGAAGAAACATATTGATACTGTAGGAGAGGCAGACGTAGCGGGCCATTTAATCCCAGCCGCTGTAATAAATGGAGCAGGAAGTGCTGGTCGATATGTACATGAATCACTTTGAGAGCAGGCGGCGAAGGCAGGCTGTATCATGTTTCACCGTCTAGCCGACACACTCACACATACACACTCACTCTCCCTACTGCTATTGTGTCAGGTTGCCACAGAGACCGCGTGACGACAGCCACCCCGGTCCTCCGACTCCATGCGGTAGGAGAGGATGCAGCAGCCAGCGGTTGCCATGGAAACTGCCTCAGCATCAGCAGTGCTGCGCGGATTGCGGTGGTTGAGTAAGCTGCATTACTCGCAGCACCCGGTGCCGGAAATTATTTTATCAGTGCGGTGCAGCGCAGAGGTGCACGAACAGCCTGGTGACTGGCAGATGTAAATGTAAACCGTCCCTCAGAGACCTGGAGTCTGGTGGGGTAGGTGGGGGAGGCGGGGGGTATTTTTGATCAGGAGAGCGTCAAAACTCTCCCTTGCTGCATGTCTGATTTACATTCAGCTCACTGTCCTCCTCAATCCCGCAGTCAGCCTGAAAATCCCACTGCACGGATGAAGAAAGCAATTAATTTGTCTTTGTTAAGCAGGGAAAGAGGAGGGATAGATCCTCCATCTCCTGCATTACCATGTAACCACTGCTCAAACCCTGTGGTGCAAGGATGTGTGAGGATATAATTGGCTCGGGGGTGTTTTTAGGAGGCGAGGGGGTTGGTTTCCGGGCTTGTTTTGATTTTCAGTCAGCTGCCGGCTGTCAGAAGGATTGCGAAAAAGCGTCGGAGTGACATGCTTGGTTGTCAGAATGAGCTAAGATGAGCAGCGGAGGGCTTAGGATGGAAATAAACCTGCCAGTGAGGAACTTCTTTGCTGGTCAGATTTGGTGTAATTGTAAACTTTTTATTTTTTATTTTTTGCCCTGCCTTTGCCAAAGAGAGCTTGAGAGAGACTGAGCCTTGGCCTGGAAGTGGGCACACCAAATCAAGCCAGGCCAGGGACTATGCCAGCATTAGACATGTAGCACATTACTTCAGCGTAATTACCCTGGATATGTGGGCAAAATGTCACATGGGTTTGCTGATGCACAACAGGAAAAGAGCTGTGGTTGTGTGCGTGAGGGACGAGACAGTACTGCTTGAAGCAACATATTACACAGGGGGGAAGTGGATCTATTCATGTACCCTAGCTCATCGCAAGCTAGCAGAGCGAGGCGTGTGGTGCAGTGGGTTTGACAGACGCTGCTGCGGGGCTCGGTGTTTAGCCATCAACAAGACGATGGCACCAGCTCCGTGTCAGTGCAGGTCATGTCTGCACTGCTTCAACCCTCAACTGGCTAAAGCGTGGAAAAATTAGTCATTTCCGAGAGGTTTTATGAAAGCAGCGCCTCCAATATTGATCGTTTATAAATCAAAAATAATGCTTGTGTGATTTCCTCTGTGGGTCTCTATTAATACAATTATCCATTTGTTTGGTAAGTTAAAATTGATGCTTCAACACGTTTCACTGCTTCTTGAGGGGAAACTGAATAACACATGCTCACTTTTTCTTGGAAGGGCCTTTGACCGGTGGGGGTTGCTGTTGGGAAGGGCCACCTTTCTCCACTGAGTTACCACGACGACAACTCTGCTCCCCGACTGACGGGGAGGAGGAATCTGATTGGGTGGCTTCGCAAACCACCTGGAAGCCCTGTGGGTAGGAAGAGAGATAGAGATGGATATCAGGAAGACAGACAGGCAGACAGTTCCTGATAATTAAAGGCTCTGTGGTTGGAGTGTGGTTTCTGTCATGACCCCGGCTCACCGTGCTAATGAATATTAACAGCCAGCCCCAGGGGGAACATTGGAAAAGGGGAGGGGAAGAAGCCTCAGACTCTTGCCCGAGCACATTCAATCAACATGGGAAGCAGAATCTGACAAGATATGGGCTGAAAACGTTAGCTCACCGTGGGACCCGGGTTGCCTGATCCACAGGGGCTGCACTGGTTGTTGACTGGGGAGTTCCTCTTTGCTGTTTAGACAGGCATAACAGTATACATGTGTTAATTCTGAGCAAATAAAAATAGATTATCTCTTAACACACTAATTCCCAACCGGTTCTTCTGCAGTAGGCAGCAGACACCTGGAATGATTCGTTTCACTATTTATAGAACTGAGTGTCCTATGACTAAATATGTTAGCTAACGTTATGGATTGTGGTTCTTTCACACCAAAAATAGGAGGGTCTGGTTGGCTGGTGATTGCATTGAAGGTTTTTGCTGTTCGATTGCAATTATTGCCGCCTAATTTATAAATGCAGAAGGATTGCAAACACAATATAATCAATCTAAGTCAGTCTGCGCCAATAACCGTAACTCGTCTGTGACACTCTATTTGTTTTTTGTAAAGATTTTTTGGGGCGGCATTGTTACATTACTTTGATAGTAGAGCAGTAAATCTGTGAGGTTCCTCATGGAATTTGTTAGTGTGAATTTCTTTGTATGTAGATTGCAAAGGATTTGCAATTTTTACAGATTTATCACAGTTAATCACAAACAAAATGCATGTAACTACCAAGCTTAACCCCGTCAATCACAAACTGACAGCAGATTGACTCCATCTTATTGTGATTGAAATGCTGGATAACTAGTCAAAACTGTTAGCTAACTTGGCGTATTAGCAGTTGAAATAGCAAAAAGGTACGAATGACCAAATTGCCAAAGCTGTTAGCTAACTGTTTAGATTAACAGTTGAAATATAAAAGTATATATAACTAAAGAGATGAAATTGTTAGGTGACTGTGCAAATAACACTGTTAGCCTAATGTAACAGATAAAAAGCTGTATTACAGCAGCTAGCTAAAGCTATGAAATGAACACCAGTGATTTAGCTGCTATGTTGCCGGAAGAAAACTGTTAGCTAACTTTGTGTATTAACAGTTTTAAATAGCAAAAAACAAACAAACATTTAAATAGTTTAAATTAATTCTTTTTCTTTCTTTCTTTCTTCAATTAAGAATTAACTGTGTGTGCAACAGTTTATTTATTTATTTAATTTATTTATGTATTTATTTGTTTTCTTCACTGAGTGTGTTTTTTGTTGTTTTGGGTTATTATGTTATGGTTTTCTTAATTGTTTAAAATAATAAAAAACTTTAATTAGAAAAAAATTGTTTAAATTAGCCAACTACAAAAATATAACACCAACAAACATAATTCTATATATTAAATTGCTGTTAAATAGAGTATTAGCTTAGGGCAGTAGATAAAAGGTTGAAATTATAAGCTTATTTATGGTTAACTAACTATAATTGGGACACGGTAAACTAAAAGTATCCCAGATTTAGGTTAAAATTAGTTCAGCTGAACATCTTAAACATGAAAGATGTTAAGGAGGAATATCTGACACAGATGCATGGGTTATATATTAGGAATACGATTAAGAACCACTTTATATACTCTATATATTATATATATAGCCCTTAAAGATAGCGGCGATTTCTCAAAGATAGTAGGAATTTCTTTAAAAAGTGGGAATTTCTTCACCTGTAACAATGTTTCTGACAGGTTTGATGAGGGCAGTAAAAGCAGGGATGTCAGGCAGGCGGTGCTCCCACATTGGCTGCCATATTACCAGACCACTAGCCAGTCTGAAGGTCAAGTCTGACTCCTGGAAAAAGGCAACATATTTACACATTTCTTTCCTCAAAACAGCCTGTAAACACCAGAAACAATTATTCTGTCTTGGTTAAATGTTTTGTGTTGTTAAGATTCTTAAACCTCCGTTACAACATGCTAACAAGACAAGACAGTAATTCCCTGCACAGCTGGGAAACAGTGCACTCCCAGGAGTAATATAAGCTGACCCTTTCATCTGTGTGCACACACAGATCAATAGGCACAGGGTGATGCTGACTGCAAGTACTAAATTAAGCAACACAGGGGTTGCTGAAATTAATCACAAAATTCTCAAAATTATAAATAGTCTAACGCCACAGATTAACACAATGCCTGTGCCATCCTGGCTCTCTGTTACAAAAATCAATTTCAAGGCCGTACACATTTGCATCCGCAGTTACAGACCTTTATCCGATGAACAAGCGGTGCAAACAGGAACACAAACAGCTCTACTGTTGCCATGCTCTTTTGGAATAGTTTGGTGCGAGTATGCTCATCCTCCTCCAGCAGGGAGCCGCTGTGCTGTTGTCCTAACCCGCCCAGGCCCGAGCTGGAGCAGGAGCTAGGAGCTCCCGGGGAGGAACCCTGGTTCCCCACAGGCTGGAGGAAGGCGCTACTGCTGCTGCCCCTGGACCAGCCGTGGCTCAGGCTGGGCTCATGGTTGCACTCCTGTGGGGCCTCCAGCAGCATCCAGTGCAGCGTGTGGAGCAGCTTGGTCTCCGCCACACCCAACTTGTCCTGGTGACCTGTGATGTAACCGAAAGACAAATACTAAACACACAGACACTTTTTTATCTGCTTAAACATGGCTGGCCTGCCAAAAGTCACCTGCAAGTGGACTCCAGAGAGAAACCAGAAAGCTTCCACTACCAAAAAATCTTGCATGCCTACAAACTGGTCATATTTGATGGTGACCTGTAATTTCCTGCTTCTAAATTTAAACTGAGGTTATTGTCCTCAACCCTAATAATCTAAGAAATATGATATCTAACCAGATGCTTACTCCAGATGGCACTACTTAGGCCTCCAATAACACAGCGAGGAATCTTTGAGTCCTTTTTGACCAGGATACGTCCTTAACTTCACATATTAAACAAATATGTTGGACTGCTTTCTTCTATTTGTGCAATTTCTCTACAATTAGAAATGCCCTTTCTCAGAGTGATGCTAAAAAACTAGTTCATGCATTTCATTACTTCTAGACTGGAATACAGTAATTCCTTATTATCAAGCTGTCCTAAAAACTCTCTGAAAAGCCTTCAGTTGATCCAAAATACTGCAGCGAGAGCATTGACAGGGACTTAGCCAGTGCTTTGGTCAAAGGTGGAGTGACAGGAGAACCAATCTAGCATGTTCTTGCATGAAACCTGAGCTCCCAAAGGAGAAACCCTCAAGGACAACAAGCCGCACAACAGGAGGGATCTGACCTGGATTGAATGAAGGACCCTCTTACTGTGTGGCAACAGTGATTTTCACTTGAAGGCGTATAACAGCTTAGTTCAAAGCCTGCCACCTCCTACTTAAAGAAAGTGTCAAATCCTGCTCAATAATAATGCAAACAGTGGCTCATTCATGTTTCATGTCTGACACATGGAAGTCACATGGAAGGATTTGATGCTTTTCTCTCCTGTTGTGTGCAGGCCATTTTAATCTCATAAATATTAATTCTATCATTTGCCTTTCTGTCCTTTTAAGCGATGATCTCTGAAAGAAGCTAAAAGGAGAATCAGATTTGTGTTTTGGCGATTGGGTATGACCTGGATGAAGCTGTCAGCTCGATTGGACTAAAGCGTCCTCACCAAGCTTGTTCCTGTTAGACAGCAGAATGGAGGTGCAGTGGAGTACGTGAGGCAGCGCCGCCTGGACCAGCTCCCAGCGGGAGATGCTCTGGATGGCCTCTGACAGGGCCGGCGACAGCCCGTGGAGCTTGTTCTCCACCAGCACTCGCTCAAAGGACTGGGGACGCAGCCAAAGGAGAGAGAAAAAAGAGGAGAAGAGAGACATCAGGCGGGCAACTTAAGCCTCTTTCTTTGACTATCTAAATGTCCCACATGGCCCCGAGCGAGCAAAAGCCTGTGGGAGAGACAGTGGAAGCTCTGTTTGGATCCAAAGGGATCTGGAGAAGCGTCATTATGGATATGAGTCTAGCTCGAGGGTAATGGGAGGAAGCACGGGGGCAAAACTAATTTGCTAAATGCAAAATCAAGAGCTCACTTGATTTGCAGGTGCATTAAGGTAAAAACAGATTACTGGGAAGGGAAGCGATTATTTCCCCTCATCGTGCACATGGTATTATGAAATGACTTACCACACAGGATGCCTCATACTGTTTTCCCAACTTTGGCCGCAGAAAAGCACTGAAAGACATCAACAGAGTGCTTGTGAGAGATTAAAAAAAGGACAAATGTAGGTTATAGGCTAGTAAATCACCCCATTTTGTCTATGTGGCCCACTTTTTTTTACAGGTGTGACATCATACAATCTGTACCCACAGCCCCATCTTCCTCCATTTAACACAAATCAGTGAGCATACACTCACTGGCGGGGTTTCTCAATCACTTCATCAAATAATGTTGACGTGTGACGCGGTGACAAACCCCCGTCAGCCCTGCCTCGTTTTCACCAACGGCAAACACCTGTTATCAATGTCACCAACCTGGTCTGCCTCCACAGGAAGGTCTGGATCGGGAACGGTATTCCCTTCCCGCACTCCGGTTCGTTTTCATCCAGGCTTTTCCTCTTCACCATTTTGGCCGGACCCTGCGTGGCCGCCTGCCTGTGTGCGATCACCGGGACGCGCGGCTGCTGGCTCTGCCCAGGTGACCAGCGAGCTTTTCCCTCCCTCTTCACGACATGATTGGGTTAGTCCTGCGTAAAATGGCTGCAAGTGTCGATCGGTCGGTCGCGGCAAAGGAGAGATAGAGAGAGAGAGGAGGAGGAGGAGGAGGAGGAGAGAGGAAGAAGGAGCGCTCCGAAATCAGCACCTCCCTCCCTGGACAGCGACAGCTGATCGGAGAGCTAATTTATCAGCAGCAGCAGCAGCAGCGGGGCTTTAAAGACGCAGTGTGCAGCTGGGCCAGATGTTCTCCCCCTCTGCCTTTTCCTCCTCCTCTGATTCCCCGCAATCAACACATGGAGCGACTGAAACCGCTGCATCCGCGTGGTGCATCCACCCCTTTAAATATCAACAGGTTGTTTAATAATAGCCCAAGCTGTGAGTCATAAAAACACAGCAAAATCAAATCAGGTGTCACTTCCCGAAACATTCGCACTGTTTAAAGAGGCCATGCCGCGCAATAATATCCTCATAAGGCCATGGAACAGGGATCTAACATGTTGACGAAATCCAGAACAATGCACCGTGTTTTAACATGGCAGTGCTGTTTGAATGCGGTGTTTCCTTGTAAAAGAAGAAAAAGAACGACCAGAACTGTTCTCAGCAGATGGACAGTCACAGCATCTGAACAGTGCCTCACGCTGCAAACACTAAAACCATAAACATTAAAACCCAGCAGGGTTTACAAACTTTACAAAAGACAGAAAAGGATCAATTAAAGGAACAATAACCATGTAGGGAAGAAAAACTTTAGGTTACTTGCGTAACCTCAGTTCTCAGAGTAGCGTAAGTGAGACCTCTTACTATGGGATGACCCTCCCTGCACATTCCTCAGAAGCATTTATCTAATTGGCCAAGGTGACCACCAGCCAATCCTGTTAGGTTGGTGGTCAGGAACAGCCATCCACGTTTAAATAAATTGCGCTATTTAATAGCAGTTATTCAAGATAAGCACCTCTTCTCGCTTAGCAACAGCAAGAAGGGCTGTCTGGGTCATGCTACTCTGAAAACTGGAGTTTAGTCACCATCTAGGTATTGAAGTTTATAATTTGCAGGAGAAAGACGCTGATTTGGTCCTGGTTTTGTTCAAGGGGTTTAACAAATATATATATATTTTTAACTGTTCAGGAATCACAGCCATTTTTATATTAAGTCCTCAGGTGACTGACTTGGCCACTAAAAAAATCTCTATCTTTGCAGAAACTCTTGTGTTACTCAAACAGGATGCTTTGGGTCAATCAGTTGTGCAGCATTCGGCTAATCTGAGCAGAGGATAGCCCCACACACTTCATAATTCATCCTGCTCCTTCTGTCAGCAGAGACATCACCAGTAAACACCAGTGATCTACAGTAGTTCCACTGGCAGTCATACATACCCATAACCAGTGTTGGTCAAGTTACTTACTGATTACTTCCCCCAAAAAATAATCGTGTTACTTTAATGATTAATTATTTTCAAAAGTAATTAATTACTTAGTTACTTAATTACTTTTTAAAAACATGATTTACAACCTGAACAGGTGATAAAGCAAAAGATCTTTCAGCTCAATTCTACTTTCTCTGCATACATACATACAAAATGTAATCAAATGGAAAAGTCTCTTTAAAACTCGTTTTACTAGTTTTAATCTTTTAACTTTATGCATCAAGCAAAAATTAAATTATATGCAACATTCTCTGACTGGAAGAAATTTGTTTAACATTTAAACCTATTTTCTGCACATTCCAGCACATAAAATAAAATATTTTTTGTGTTTACACTCAGTCTTTCAAATAAATGCAAGTGAAACACAGCAGAAAAATAAAATAAAATTAAAGACTCAGCGATCCTGTTGCTCTACTTTCACCTGTATAGCAGGCGGAGGTTTGCCCTGGTGCAGGTGTGCCGCGGCGGTCAGTGGAAGAATCCGCGAGTGTCTCTGTGAATTTCCCATTATGTCGTAGTGCACTCAGTGCTTGCTCAGAAGTTAAGGGTTTTTTTCGCTGTAAAAAGAAATTTTCTTCCCACGCAGTGAACAGCGGACACTAATGTTTTTGTCACTTTTTATGGAATCAAACTCAAAGTAAGGTCAGTACTTCCACGCTTTAAGTAAGAAGCTATGAAATTGGACTGGAATCAACTTCAGATATTTTATCTGCTTCATTTGTCATGGAAGAAGGGAACAGGCCTAATCTGGCCATCAAACTGCCTGTCAGTCAATTGTCTAATTGATTTAGAGCTTCTGCAAATGGGATAGTGTACAAAAATGACTGTAATTCTTAACTCATACATACATTTTTGTTAACCCTCTTGAATTAAAAGCTGCAGTGGTGTACAGAAGCAAGTCTGCAAAAATTGCATTTATCCCACTATAACTTTCATTAGAGCCCAGAAAAGAAATGCTTCTCTAGTAAGCTAAAGAAATATGTCATCGCGCTTCGTTGAGCATAAACTAAAACATATTAATGTTTAAAATTACAGAAAAAATTCATGTAATAATAAAACTGAATGTTTTTGTTAATTCACGAAAAATGTCTGTTTTTAAATCACTGTTTTGCCAAACTAACAAACTCATTAAGTTAAAAAAAAATGTGTGTAGTAATGAAAAAAGGGAAAGGTTGCTGTTATTTAATTGTTTATCTATCACTTAATTACTTTGTTGTTCTTTGGCACAGTATGAACAACTGTGGAGGTGTTTAAACAGAAAGAAAAGCTACAAAATCTGTGAAAATATAGTCAAAATTCCAAAGTTTATCCTCTCCTTCACATTTCCCAAAGCTGTCCACAGGGCCGATGTTTGTTGGGTCGATTCTGGCCCCCATGCCTTATGTTTTACCCGCCATTACCAACTTTATGCAGAACTATAGAAAATTATAACAGGTTTTAAAGCGTTTGTCTGTCAAATATACAAACTTCAAATGACTACAGTAAAGCCAGCAATGCCTCCTGTTTAATGAATAATAATGACATTTTTGTTTAGCCTTCAAAACACGTGCTGATGATAACCAAACAGGCACGCCACACATGCAGGTTGACGTGTTTTTCACAAAAAGACGAGTATTTTCAAAGAATTGATCCACAAGACTAGAATGAACCAGTTTTTTTATTTCTTTTATTTCTTTATTTTTGTTGTTGCCATCATCCTGTAGGAGCATTTTGTCATCAGTACGTCTCAAACACCGGAAAGTGTGCACACATCTACAATTTTTTTAAATCTTTTTTTTTTAAATACACATACACAGGCAAAGAGGGGGAGGGATATAGGAAGCACAGAAAAACACTGGAAGGGTAGGTGACATCAGGAGGGGAGGTGGGGGGGGGGGGGGTCTCATAATGGTGAGCAGAGAATATGCTAGAACATTTTTTTATTCTTTTTAAAAAAAAACTTCTAAAAGCTGCAGGTTTGTGGGGTATTATTCCCATTCTTTACCTTCTTTATCTCTGCAAACGTTCAAAAACTTCTTTCAAATGGAATGTTTTCATATAAAGCTTCACACTTAACACTTTTTAAAACAAAATTCGGGGCTTTTACCCACTCAAATACACTACACAACCCAGTCTTTGCAAAAGGAGCAAGGTCACAGGGGCCCGTGTGCTAGAATGCACCCGGGCCATTTTACACCCACACAGAAAAGTCGAAGATCGCTCCAAATAGATCTAATTTATTTATCATTTATTTGCCATGCCAGCATAACAGCATTGTTGTAGCCTAATAAAAACCACAGCGCTAATGTAAAACCAGAAAATAAAAAGAAGAGAGGGTGGAAGGGGCGGCGCAGCCCGACGGCTGACGAGAGAAAAAACTAAAACACAAAAATCTATTGGAAAGCTAGCCTTTTAGCGCCCGACTCGACAGAGCTGCAATGGTTATCCACATTTAAATGCTAATAAGCCAGAGCAGCCACAGGGAACGTACAAAACTGTAAATACTTCCAACTACAGTGACATATATTTTTTATATATTTATATATAAAAAGAAAACAAGAGAACACAAGTTTGTCCAACAATTCAGCACAATTCAGGAAATCCAACAAACGCAACAAAGAAAAGTTCATGTCACACACTTTTCTTTTTTATGTTGTTTTTTTGCAGACATGCTCATCAGCCATTCTTTTGCAGGTCAGTTAAGTCTCTCGCTTATCTTTAAGACTAGCACCTACTGTCTAGTAGCTATATCTTGCATTCAGTACCGTATAAATTCTGAATGGACGTCACGGTCCAACTTGAAATTTTTAGCCCCGTGCGAGTGGGAATGTGTTGGTGTTTTTCAACGCACCAAAGAAAAAGAAGTAAAGATGAACAGAAAAAGGACCAAAGAAAAATCCTGTACAATCGTAAAACCACCTTCTTGAACCACTTGAACCTTGGCATTCAGCTTATCTAAAACAGAACAGTCCACGTTTGAGTGAATGAGAGGATAAAAAGCAGACCGACAGACGGGGAGTGTCGATGAAGATTTATGAAGAATTCAGTTTTTTTAAATCCCGCTTGGAAGGGCCGGAGGGATCGTTGATTGGATGAGACGGTCAACCAGCTACAACTGTGGGGGTTACATTAAACACTGGAAGCTTGTGATGGGAACGATGGGAAAAGGAGGGGTGATGGTGTGGATTTGTATTTTTCCTAAGCAGAGGCAGCTGGCTCATAAGCCCTGCTTGGCCAGGGCAGCGGTGACATCCTGGGCCAGCGTGGAGAGCTGGGGCGACTCCAGGAGGTTGATGCTGCCGGAGGAAGACAGGCGAGGAGAGGTGCCTCCCGTCTCGATGCCAGGGGAGTGGGTGACGATGATTTCCGCACCGTGGTCCACCCGAGCTTTGGCCGAATCCCGGAAATTCAGCTTGTGGCTCTCGATCTGGTGAGCAGGGGAAGACGGTTTAGGTCAGCGCTCTTTTTCCTCTTTAACGTGAACTGACAGTGACATTTGGTATAAAAAGAGGCTTCCTTTTACCATTATGTTCCCGCCTCCAGGAGTGTGGCTGGCGTTCTCCAGAGAGTTGACCTTGGCGTGGGCCTTCTCTTTGAAGTCCAGCTTCACATTGTCGATACGCACATGTCCTCCCCCTGGGAACAGGACAGCAAGGAGGAGAAGAGAAGTGTTAAACCCACGAGGAATCGCTCGCCTGCAGGACATCACTTCTCCTAGGCAATGCTCAGGGCAAAAAAAATCTCAGTCTGCACACTGCACAGCCTGAAAAAGGCACAAGTGCCAGCTTTGACCTGATTTATACAGTTTATATAGTACCATGTAAGACTGGATGCAATATTCAATTTCCTGCTTTGACACTTTCTTGTAAATATCATTGAAATGGTGACATTATGGGGGCAAAACTGAAGCTGTAAGTGGACAGATGACAGATGAAATTAAGAAATATCAATCAGATTATTGCTAAGATTAAAGGAAATACATATGCTTTTACTAAATCAAAACTAATTTGACCAGAACAGACTTTCGCTTCAGTCAGCCCAGAAACCGGCTATTTGTGGAGGAGTATGTGTGCTGCACAAACATTTGTAGCGTTTCAGTGAAAAACTACCAAAATAGAAGAAACTCTAATCCTGGTGCTTTGTTCTACATCAGTTGGACAACAAACTCCATCGGTATTTCTCTACAACTCCCCACAGAATTGACAACAACATTTGATTCTTAAGACTTCAAATTTCCTAAATCAAGAAAATAAAAGCACAAAAGAAATTAGCATCCAGATCTGATGTACTCGACGAGTTGTCAATGTCTCATCAAATTTAGTTATGGAGTACTTTGCTGGTTGCCCTTTTTTAAAAATGTTACAGCATTGTTTGGGATTTTAGTTTGTTGCTTGGTGGTTGTTAGGCAACAAAGACATTAGTATATACCATGCATAATCCAACTCCTGTGGATATATATGAGAGCGCACAGTCCTGAAATTAAAATGATACAATGCTTTTATAAGGAGTTTTAGTTGCATACTACAAATGGGCCATTTTAGCTTGCTGGTCGGAGGTTGCTAGGCAATGTGATGATGTGCTATAGATAAGAACAATCAGGGACCGGGTTTGTTTGCTCAGCTGGAGGTTTCATGGATTACAGTGGATATACATAAAGAGAATTGGAACATATATCAATACTGGAAGGTTTTAATGATCCAACATTTACTATAAAACACAGCATTTGTTACGCTCTAAATGGCACAAAAATCATTTATATCCATAAGGACAAATCAAAATCAGCTAATAGCAACTAGTCTTAGCATTCCTTTAAGAAGAGAGCCTTACATACTTTGTACAAGTAGGTTGCCTTCCTTTTTTCCATACATCATATATACTAGTTAAATGCATGCTGGAGTATTGTTTGGTCTGTGATTTTAGTGTGTTGTTAGATAGTTGCAAAGCAGCATTTAGACATCATAAGTTGCATGCATAATTCAACTGCTGTGGATATAAATTAGATGTTTTTGCCACCAAATTAAAATGATACGAAGCTTTTATAAGGAGTCATAGGTGCATAAATGCTGCAAATGGGCCATTTTAACTCGTTGGTAGTAGAGATGGACCGATCCGATATTAGGTATCGGTATCGGTCCGATACTGACCTAAATTACTGGATCGGATATTGGAGAGAAATAAAAAAATGTAATCCGATCCATTAAATATCAAAAAAGCACTTCACAAAACTTGCGACATGGCATAACTCGGCCCATAACCATAGCACGTCGGAGCAGTGATCGCGTGATAGAGCGGCTATGGCATGCGAGACCTGTCCGTGGTCTGGTTGAATATTTGTAGCCTCGCTACCAAACCGGCATTTCATCTCTGAGGAAGTGATCCCCGAGAGAAGTAAAGCAAGTGTGTAAGTTCATCTCTGAATGTTTATAAAGCATTCCAGCATTAAGCTTAACAACTGATATATGGAGCGACTGCCTCTTCTTGCTGCTACTTCAATCGTGAAACTGCTTAATGATCAGCTGATCGGCTTTTCTGTAGTGACTCCGTCTCTCTTGTTTGTTTTTGGCCCACTTCGTGCCAGAAAGAGGAAACCAGCGGCTGAACAACAGCAGCACGTTTAAGCTTGATAAGCTGTTGTTAGAATTTATTTAATATTACTTTCTACACCAGGATCTTTTTCTATGTAGCTGTCAGCTGGTAAGTGTGTAGGGGCGGATCTAGCAAAGTTTAGCCAGGGGGGCCGATAGGGCATTAACAGGGAAAAGGGGCACAAAGACATACTTTCCTTTCTTATTCTCATTTAAAATGTCGAGCTTTTAATAAATAATTATCTGAATCTTACACCCAAAGTTTTAATCTGATGTAAAATGTATAGAAGTCCATTATTGTATAAAGTAACTGTTAAGTCTAATATACACTAGTAAGCTATAGTACTTTTTCCTTTGGGAAGGTACCATCTGTGCAGTCTGTAGTTCTGTTGAAGAAAGATGTTGAATCTATTTAATTATTCTTGAAAAATAATTTATTTCGGTGCGTTTTTTTTCACACTGCATCAAATTAAAGTTGATTACGTCGATTAAGCATCATGAGGTGGAGGGTGGGTGGTTCCCTATTTTTTTTTTTGCTGGGAGTTTGCAACCCTATTAGTTAGGTTGCTTACTCTTTAAAATACCAGAATACAGAGGATGGAGTAGGTTTAAGTTTATTAGATTTATCAGTATTGCTGAACTAGGAAATATTTTGGGTGCAGTGTATTTTTTCCATACAGGTATAACAGAATAGCTTTAGTGTTTTATTTTTTTAAACTTGAGTTTGAACTTATACAAAATGCAGCAAGATATTAAAAAACAGTTTTATTGATTAAAAACACACTATATCGGATTCATATCGGTATCGGCCAATATCCAAATTTATGATATTGGTATCGGTATCGGACATAAAAAAGTGGTATCGTGCCAACTGTAGTTGGTAGGTGGTTGCTAGGCAACATGATGATGGTCATTGTCTGAGATATAGATAAGAACCATTGGGGGCCTAAGGATTTTTTGCTCAACTGGAGATTTCGTGGATTACAGTGAGATATACATGAAGAATATATATCACCAATGTTTTTAAAAGTTTATAGTACGAGTAACTTCTTTCAACAAGGACAATTAAAGATGTGGTAATGACAACTAGTCTCAGAATTCCTTTAAGAAAAGGCCCTTAAACACATTGTACAATAATGTAATTCTCTAAGTTTTTCTAAAAGGCCAGCTGTGGCTGTACAGTACCTGGTCTGTGGTGGATGTTGGAAAAGGAGCCACATTTAGCGGTGACATGGCTCAGGTCGATCTTCTTGGTCTGGATTTGGATCTGCGAGCAGTGGCACATTGCACAAATTCACCTTTAATTGCTTTGAATGTGAATAAAACACAAATAACAGGCATGAAATGCAATGAAATGAAAGCGACAGGTTTCAAAAAGAGAGAAAATGAACGTGGTGAGATGACATGAATCTCTAGACAAAGGCGGTGTGAGTCAATCAACCGCAGTCCACAGAAAAGCCACAGAGAGGCTGATGTCAGATCCCTGGAGGGGAGGTTAACATGAACGCAAGCAGTGACGGTGCAGACATCAAACAAACACAGAACACGGGCGCTACTGTGTGACGCTACGGGGAGCAGGTGCTTCAATTAAACTTTATTGTCCATGGGTGATGTGAATTAGTGCGAGCATTGTAAACAAGAGAAACTGACAGCCTTGCAGGCTGCAGAGGGAAGTGGTTTATGTTATGAAATATATGCACTATGCAGACATGCTGTATGTTGTGGCCCAGGTGAATGCACAAAGATTATACAATTGTAAATGTTTTTGTTTCTGAGACACAAAATACAGCTAATGAAGACGAACACACTCCACGAGGACGGCTCACACACACATCTTAATGTGAAGTGTTATCAAGAACGACAGATCTTGGATGAGATGATTTTCTGCTAAGTCACTCACGTTTCCCCCGCCTGCCGCGTGCTGGATTTTGTCCAGGGAGCCACATTTAGACTTAACGTGGCTAAAGTCCAGCTTAACGCTTGGAATCATGACCTGTGGATGACAGGTTGACTTTTTTCTTTTAAAAAAAAACCCAAACAGACAGAACACACAGGGTCTCTCACACAGCCGTGGAGTCGAGGGGCTTAATAAAAAAAAACCCTTCCTACTTCCCTGCTTAAAATAATCCTGTAGAGGCGTCCCAGGTTTACATCAGTCTGTCGATGCCCACTTTAACTCGAGTGCGCTTGAATTCAGACTGCATGAAATGGGCTGAAGCCTATGCAGAAATCAAGGCCCTGTTTAGCACCAAGTCTCAAACGTGAAGCGCACGAAAGAGTTTACTTCCCAGTGTGCAACATCCACAATTTTTAAAAATTAAAGAAAAATCAAAACTACCAACAGCTAGCTCTGCAAGCTGCTTTGCAACCCACCTCCACCCCAGTTTCCAGTCTATGCTAACTTTCCTGTTATACACTAAACAGTAAACAGTGCTAACTGAAAAAAAGTAACATAGGCGTGCTACACCTTTGGAAATAAACCCCTTCTCTTTTGCTTGTCCGAAACAACGTATTGGCAGACGGACAGATGACAGACGCGTGAACACATAATAGTAGCATGACAGAGTGCCACGACAGCCCCAGCTGAGAAAAAAGAGAAAGAGAAATAAGAGAAAGAGAGAAAAAAGAGAGAGAGAAAGGCGTACATACATTGCCTCCTTTGGGCGAGTGCTTCAGATTATCCTTGGAGCCACACTTTGGCTGAATATGACTGAAGTCCAGCTTCTCGTGTAAAATGTGAACCTAAAATAAAATTGGATAATTATGATAATAATAAAAAAGAAAAAGAAAACACTGTATGTGCCTCATTTAGATAAGTGTGCAGTGAGGGGTCGGGGTCTGTTTGCGTGCATCATTAGAACTAACAATGCTTTTCTTCGTGGTGGTGTATACAGCTCTGAGAATAGCAGTGATACGAATGTTTAATTCCCACTTTAGTGTCTCTCGCTTTGTCCCTTTGTCACTATAGACTTATAATAGACAATAGTCTTCTAGGTTTCTTTACAATCTGACTTCCTTCTAATCGCCCCCTGCTGGTCATTAGAAGGAATGCAGTCTGGCTTCAGTTTCAGAGTCGGCCTTTTATATACAGTCTATAATGACCAGGATAAAAAGGTGCAAGAACCCCAAACAGTGGTGCTACAAACTGCTCGACTCTTATGTTGTAACTGAGACTGCAGTCACGCCCAAGAAATGACCTTCCAAGAATCTTTTACAGAGCACAAATTTGTGTTATTCTCAGAGCTGACCTGGAGGCAGAAATAATCTCACTGGTCAAGTTAAGCCTCACTGTGAGTAAGAAAAACTGAAAGATTGAGTTTCTTTCCTGAGAGATGCTCAGACTGATGCTCAATAAAAAGATCAAGATGTTATAAATATGATGAGGATCAAATCTGCAAATAGAAAACAAGAAAACGTATTTTTCCCCTGCATTAGTAAAAACCCAGCAAACAGTAGTTTTGCTTGTACAGCAAAAATAAAATAAAGTAATAAAAAGGGGGACTGTCTCCACTGAACTGACCTGGATTCTTCCGACAGCTCTGATGTTGATTTATTCCCACGTATAACAACATGTGCTGTGTTTAGAGGTTATCTTTCTCATTCCTTCTGTGGCTGTTTCAGCTCAGAGGTTTCAGCCTTTCTGCAAGGTCGACCAATGACAGAGCGAATGAACTGAACTCAATGACGGCCCTGTTTGGTTTATTTTAAAAACATGAACTAATTATGTAAACTCGGAAAATCACAATACTGAAAACAGAAATACCACATTTACTGTTTTCAGGTCTCTTAAAGTGTTTCTTTAGTTTTGAGTCCAGTCCTTGTACCGGACCATTTTCAGAGGAATGAGCCACTTAACACTGACCCAAGAGTCATTCTAGCTCCTGTAGACTTCAGTCTAAATAGAGTGATTTTGTGTGGAAGAAAAGCTTCTCTGTGAGCAGAAGCTAATATGAAAAGATAGAAAATGGTCCTCTAATGTTTCTGGTCTATATATCTGTCTGCGCTCCTGTGCCGCTCCGCTAAGCCGTGCGTCACCGAGCCTCATTAAAAATTTCTGTCCCTCTGTCAGTTTTCTCCCCAAAGAAGTAAGGAGAGCTGGCAGTGAATCGACTCCACCTCCATATATCACAGGGTTAATGACCTCACCAACACAGCACTGTGGGGACATTAAAATGATCAGTTACACCCCAAAGATTAACAAGGAGATGGTTTCTGTCTCCTATCTGCATGCAGTCCATGTGTTATTTTACGTGTGAAGTACGTCATTGCAAAGGAACATCTCTCAGTTATTCTAACAGCTTGGCCACCTTGAGATCCTCTAAAATTTTTATCTCGTAGGTTCCTAAAAGACATCTTTTTCTGAAAGTCAAGGGTGGATAAAAGGAAGAGAGATGATATATTTTTATGCTGTGACCTTGATGTGACTCCTCCATAGGTAATTCTGCACGCTTGAAATTATTAATACCCAGAGCTGGAAGGGAAAATCCTGCACAGTGACGAAAGCAGCTCCCTCAGGGGCAAATGCTTTTGCAGGCTGGCTGCTCCTTGGAGGCGGTGTTTTCTTAGGAGGAAGGCTTTATGTTACAAAAACAAAACAAAAAAACTTTGGGAGAGCTGAAGGTCACCGGGGAGAAAATTGTTGGGAAAGAAAGAGGAGGAAGACGGAGGAAGAGGGGAAAGGATGCAGCTGATGACGATTCATCCAGACTGATGGAGATGACGGTGGACAGGGAGAGGGCAGAGGACAGTCGGAGGGAGGCAGACACACAGACGGTGGGTTAGAGGCACACCAGACAGTGAGCGAGAGCAAACGCAGAGCATGAGGAGACTATTTGAGCATTTTATGACATCTCTAGAGAGAAAAAGGAGATAAAAACCCATCCTTTTAAAGCTGCCTATTTTTTTTTACTGGTTTGCAGGAGCTGTTTAAGATTTTTCTAAACTCTGATACTCACAGAGCATCCAGTAATACTGAGTCATGATAATAGACAAAAGGATGGATTTAAAAAATCTCTTAAAAATAGTCAAATGTTTTGACTGAGGGAAATAATACAAAGAACGGACAATAATTCAAGTTAAAAACAGCTGTGAAATCGTGATTGGTTTGCAGTTTAAAGTCTTGTGCAGCCTATTTTATTTTAAAATGTGTACTTTACTGCCCCCATGTGGCAGAATTATGTACACACATAATACTTATAAGGACAGAAATCATTAATCTATGGAAATCTGTGCTTTTTCTACCTGCAGATGTTTTCCTGTATTTCTGTGTGCTGCAAAGACAAAAGTCACTCTGTGTCTCAGGGCTGCTTGTTACCTGTCCGCCCTTCGGCTGATGCTTAATGTTGGAGGTGGAGCCGATCTTGGACTTCACATTCTTCAGGTCAGGCAGAGGCTGATTGATGACCTTCAGCTGCCGCTGGACAGAGGATGGAGATTTGGGTGGGGTTCGGATCACTGCCACCTTCTTCTCCTGGAGGACGCTGAAGGACTTGGGCGTGTGGCTGCCCGGGGTGCGCGAGCCGGGCGTGCGGCAGGAGTAGCTAGGGGGCGTGCCGGGTGTGACGGCGGAGGAGCCCGGGGTGGAGGCGCCACTGTGGACTGATCGGGAACGCGCCGAGTCTGTACCTTAAGAGAAGAGAGGGCAGTAATGAGAAGACGAAGGAGGAGGAATGAAAAGAAAACCTTCAAACTATTGGATAGAAAGGAGTGATCCTTCATCTGCTTCTTATGATGATGATGATGGAGGAGAAACACAGCACTGAAAAAGACCTGCTCAGTTTCCACCTAAGCAAACAGCCAAGATCACACACAAGTGTTTGCCCAGGAGCCTGAAAGCACAAACACAGGCAGCTGAATTCATTTAGCTACTGGTGGCTTGTTGCTGCGTTACCGGGGAAGAACCAATAAGATTTTATCCTACATGAGAACAAGGAACACACCTGTTGCTGTGATCCACACCTGCTTTTCTGATAAGATAACTGCAGGGTGGATAAAGCCTATTTAGACACGCTTTATAAATACCTGTTTCCAATGGAAACTAAAGCTTTTTCCCAATTTGTATCACCCTGACCTTTGAACTATGACCTTGAAGCACTAAAATTGGCTTCTATAAGCTGTAAAAACCTGAGATTTTTGGATACATTCATGCAGTGTGTGGTTTTGCACATCTTTATGGCACCATTGTGATGTCATCGTTTGAAAAAATAAAAAGCGTGTCTAATGTCCAAGAGCTTAGGAAAGCCTGGAGGACTATTGCTCAAGAGCACTTTAAAAGAATTACAAAAAAGTCTGGCACCTTGGAAGTAAAATATAAAGAAATGAGGGGTGGCTCAAGACTTTTGCACAGACCTGCAAAGTGTTGTGCTAACATATGAGGTCAATCGATCAGTCTCATGTTCCAGCGGTCCATTGTGGAAGGCACAAACATACCAAATTTACCTTCTTACAAGCAGTTTTTCTGGTCTTAAGGATCACCTGTATCAAACATTACTTCAGCTGCTGTTCTGTGTGATTACCCTCTTTGAATTTCTTGGGGAAATAAATAAATAAAATAAAATCTATTTACTTTTTTGGTACAGTAGAGCTACTCAAAATATGGGACACTGTCTCGATGCATGTGGACGAGAAGTCAAGTCTCACATAAAGGGGGACATCTTCGACCCTTCTCGGAACAGGGCAAGATGGCTTTGTACCAGAGGAGGAGAAAGAGGAGATCCTGGTACAAAACCAGGCAATAAGACAAGTGCATCCACAGACCTGACAAGTTTTCAGCTGGTTGAGCGGTTTGATTAAATGATACCCAGAACAGCTGAATTGTGCTTGTTTATGAAAAGGGTAGTACACACTGCTGAATGAAAACGTCTTTCCGGACACCCAAAAGGCCAGATTCATCGCATTTTAACCATTTGGGTGAGAGTTTTCTGATGATCCAGCCCCATTAAACTTGCATGAGGTAAACAAGGCTGGCCACTGAGAAAGAAACAGAGATATCTGTTGCCATTTGCAACATTTCCAATCCAGTTCATGTTTGTTACACAAAAACAAATATGCTTTTCTTTCAAAATCAAGTGACCCTAAACTTTTGTGCAGATTACTGTCCCTCCCTGAGCCAAGCTCTGCCTGAGGTTTCTTCCTGTTAAAAGAGAGTTTTCCTTCCCACTGTTGCCAAAACCTTTCTCATAGGGGTTCATCTGATCGTTGGGGTTTTCTCTGTATTACTGCAGGGATGAAGGGATGATGCTCTCTTCTATGGAAAATATAAGTCCTTATCTTATAGTTATTAAAGCAAACAAGCATAAATAAACTGTATAAACTAATAAACAGATGTCGATGAAGATGGTGTGAAAGGTCTAAAAGGATCTACTAGGTGTTCTACCTGCCATACTAGGGGCTCTTCCAGACCTGGTGTCCGCTGTTCGGAACGCTTTACAGAAGAAGGGAATAAAAAGGGAAAATCAGGGGTAAAACAGCAGGTGGGAAGTGGAAGGTGTTGGGAGTTAAAGTATAATACAAATAATCTGGTGAGTAAAGAAGCAATTAATCTGGGAAGCAAACAATCTGAAGGTTTTGGACCGTGGAGATTCTTACAGGTTGGCCTGGAGGGGGTGCTGTTGTCCTCCTGTTCAGCAGCCGGGATGTGGCGTGTCAGAGACTTGGCCGGCCTGGGGAGGGATGACTTCTTCTCGGGGCTCCGGTACGCTCTCTCCTGGATTAACAGACACACAGCAGAGTTGAGATGCAGGCTGAGGCATGCACATGCTGGTCACAGCCACCCCTCAACCCTTGCTTTTATCCCCCACCCTCACTTTACCTTCTCCACCCATTTCTTAGACAGAGGTGATGGGCGTGAGCACGCGGAGGAGGGACGGGCCTCGCAGAGCTCCGCCTGTACGAGGGGGCTCCGTTTAAGGCTACAGGCAGAGCCGGGCCGGGGGGGCTCGCGATCAAACCCCCGACGCTGCACTGCCATCTTTAATACAACCGCCCTCGTGGGGCTCTTGACCGTGACCATGACAACAGGGAGGAAAGGCATGCAGGGTAGGTGGAAGATGTTCAGGATGGAAAACAGGCATGACAAGCAGATGGAGAAATGAAAAGTTGAGACAGGATGGAGTAAAAATGCAATGTGTTTATTTGTGGCTCATACACAAACAGTCTATTTGTGTACGTGTGTGTTTTGATCTAACCGAACATATCTAAGAACATTGTTGTCTTTATAAATATGCCAAATGAACCACATGAACATTGGATTATTATTATTTCTGTTTGGTTTAATAATCTTTAGGAATGAAATGAAAGGAACAAGAAACAGAATTTGGCTGAAATCGTTTGAATGAGCTGCGTCGCTCGTTGCTGCACATCATAAGTGTGTTTTTAATGGTAAAATGTAAAATAATTTTGCACTTTTGATGTCTATACTCACAGATTTTCTCTGTCGAGACTGACACAAGGACAGAAGCAAGCATGCAAGACAAAATGATTATGGAGAGAGAGAAAAGCAGACATGCAAAAAAAGAGAAGAAAGCCCAAAAACAAAACAGAAAATATGAAGACGCCATGGCCTAAAGTCGTACAGAAAATGCACTCACCAGCCACTTTGTTAGATAGAACTTTTCAACTGTTTGTTAATGCAAAAGCAGCAAATTACATTGGAGCAACTCAGTGCATTTAGGTCTGTAGATATGATCAAGCTGCTGAAGCCCAAACTGGGCATCAGAATGGGGATGAAAAGTGATTTAAGTGACTCTAAATGAGGCATGGTTGCTGATTCGATCTAATTTTCCAAGCAACCATCAGTAGTGTTTACAGAGAATGGTCTGAAAAAAGAAAATATCCAGCAAGTGGGTAAAGATGCCTTGTTGATGTTAGAGGTCAGAGGAGAATAGCCAGCCATTTGAGCTTATAGGAAGGCAGTAACCCCAAAATAAAAAGGCACACATGGGAATCACACGGGAATCCAGGTGAGGGGTAGCCAATAAGAAGAAAGCGGTCTTTTAGGGATCAATATTACTGAGAGATGATGAAAACACTCTTGGAATAACCTTAACTTTGTGAGGATTTCAATTGAAAGACAAAAAATAATAAACGTTGACTTGTTATACTTACAGTGGTCCTCTCCCTGGACTGGTGGGCCACACTGAGGGGCTGATGGTGCTCCACACCTGTGAAGCAAACATGTTTATCAGTGTGACACACACAAATGCACATTTGCTGAATACAAGGTGAAAAAGTGGACATATGAGCACATTCATATTACAGAAGCACCTTCTGTACACGTATCACGACATTTCACGTCACCCTCACTTCGCTTGTTGACAGAACACACAACCTTCAAACATGCGGCCATTTTCAGGAGACATACACACGCACACAAGTGTTAAACCAGAGTTATTCAATACCAGTCACAATGAATAACATCATCACTGAGCAGAAAAAAATAAAAGCATGAATTTGAAGCAGAGCGGGAACAAATACTCCATGTTTGACAAAATGAGAAAAAACAAAGCATGTTTAAAGCTTTTAGAAAAATAAAACTGAAAAAGAAACCCAAAGCAGACCAGACATGACAGAACTTTAAAAAATAAATCAGCAGCACATGATGTTTGCCAGCTACACTGCACCTTGCTTGATTCCTCAATGAGCCATCAATGGAGAGAGAGCAAAGACATCAAACGCCACATATCCAAAACTGATTTACATTTGAAAAAATGCTTTAATTATTTGGGTGTTGCTCTCTCTCTATCCACGGCACTGACTCCGGGTGAAAAGTGTTCACCTGTGGCCTTGCGTCTAGCAGAGCCGTGAAGCAGAGCAGGCCTAGGATGTCTGGCCGCCGCTTTGGCTACACCCTTTCGAGACGGGGAATGACTTTGGAGGGCTGACACCTTACTCTGGTCAGCCCTCCTGATGCCTACTAGCAGAGAGGAGAGACAAGGTTATACCGACATGCATACCTCGGTTAGATGACAAGGATTATAAATTTCAGGCGTAAATACAGAATTGGAACCTTTTTTCTTCTTTATCTCCTCTCTTGGTGGATGGTGGCTCAGTACTTTGCGGGATACTTTAGACTCAGTGGTGGCCCTTGATCTGCCGGGGCCCCGTTTAGCGGGTCTGTCCACCACCACAGGCTTATTGGTCGAGCTCTGGGGCTGAGGAAGGGCTTCGATTTGCTCAGTCATAATACTTTTGTCATCATCTGCAGTGGAGAAGGATCAACAGAGGGCTAATTCTCCACGCTCCTTGCTAGCTAGGAGCTAGCTTAGCACAAAAGACACATTTCCAAACAAGTTTTCTGGTGCTAGCAAGTTTTTAAACCAAAATTATTAAACTAAATAAACATTTAAAGGCTTTTAATCTTTTTTTAAACAAGTGATTTATTAACAGGTTTACTCTGGGTACCTTGTGAATCCATCCAGCCACTGTCTGTATCTAGGATGGACACGTCCATGGTGGTTTCATCGTTAGGTGCTTGATCGGTCTGGCTAAGAACATCCGAGGTCTCCTCCTCCACCTTCCTCACCTTCTTTCCATCCTCTTCTTCTATCATTTTATGATCTTCCGTTCCTTCCTTTTCCTCCTTTGTTTCCTCTTTCTTCACCCCTTCGTACTCGTCTGTCTTCCCTTTCACCTTATCTGTGTCTAAGTCCTCTTCTATTTTATCTGCCTCCATGTCTTCTCTGCCTCCTTCCTCTGTTTGCTGTGTCAGCTCGTGGTCAGAGCAGGGAGACAAGTGCGAACTGTCTGTTGCAGGTTCGTCACTGTTTTGGGCGCTGTGACTCCATTCTTCTGCTCCAGACTTTGGATCTTCTTCCAACATCTGGTCATCCACCATCAGTCTCACTTGTTCTGTCTTTTGCTCTTCCTTCCCAGCTTCTTCAGTTTGACTCTTCCTTGTTTCATCCGGCTCTTGGGCTTCTTCCATTATCTCTTGAGGCTCCTCTGCAATCTCAATATCATCTTCCTCCTCTGCTTCTTCATCTATTTGTGCTTGAGGGATAATGATGATCGGAGAAGATATTTGGAGCTTCGGTGAGCCTTTCACCAGACTGCTTTTTTGCTGCTGGTTTTGGTCATTTTTCTCATCTGTGTGCTTTGTAGTAATTAAATCCTGAGCAGTGTTTGAGGTCTGTTGCCCACTTTGGATTGTCTTAGCTTTGTCTGTGCTCTCTTCTAAAGACTGAGATAATCCTGAAGCCAAGTCTTTGTTTGGCATTTCTGGTTCATCACTTCTTTCTTCAGATTCTTTCTGCTCAGGCTTCAGATTTTCTTTGTCTAACTCTGACTGTTTATTATCAACGTTTTCAGATGCTTTTAGCTCTGATGGGTCATCTTTCTGTGCTTTCTCTCCTGCAGTTTGGGTTTCTGATGATGTGTCATCTGGGGACTTGGGGGTTGTTGGAGTTGGAGGAACCTTGGTTCCAGTTTCTGTAGGCGCGAAAGTGAACGAACTGTCTGGTGGGATAGGTGAAGCTTCTCTTGATGGGTCTTTTTCAACATCTACCTCAGGGATAGCTTGAATCTTTATGTTCCCTGGCAACCCAGTCTCCAAACGAAATTCACTCAGTCTGTCTTTTGAAGTAGTCATTGGGATTCTTAGCCGATCCGGTTTTATTCCACTGGTTACAGCTTTTTCAAGGATCAGGTTAGACTTTACTGGTGAGCCTTTCTTTTCTACCACTGGTATTTGAGAGATCACAGGGGTAACCTCTTTGTAATCTTGTTGTTGTATTCCTTTTGAAACATCTTTTGCTTTCAAATCCCCTAGATCCTCCTCTACTTCCCCCTCTACAGAAGGGAAACGCTGGTGTGGAGAATCCCCGGGACTGGGTACATCAGCGGGAGAAGGCATGGGCCCTGAATACTCACTGAAGACACAGTAGCCCACCTCCTCCAGCTGGTTTTCTTGTGAGAAAACACTTGGGGCTTGATCTGTCAAGGCAAGCTTGGCTAAAGAACTTCCCACAAGGGCAGATACATTGGCGGGCACTGACTTTCTTCTCATGTAGTCAACCTCCATCCTCTCCAGGGATGGACGAGGTAGGGCACCAGCCAGGTCCAACATCTCAGAGAGGCTTCCTGATTGTTTAGAACTATCTGTGTGCTTATCATAAGGTAAGGGCTCATCTGCCACGGTGGGGATATTTTCAGGTGTTTCAGTGTTAGTTGGGGTAATGGAGACAGCTGGTGGAAATGTAGGTGGATGGCTCACCACAGATGGAGTTGACGGATAAACCTCTGATTCATCATGGCTTCCACTGATTGGATACAAGCTTCCCATGAAGATCCTTGATTTCTCTTCCTTCACCGTCTGTCCGGCTGAAGACCCAACAGTAATGTTCAAGGAAAGACTTCTTTGTTCCAGTCCCAGTTTACCAGAAGATGTGTTGACATTTTGCTTTTGTTGTTTCTCCATATTCTGCACAATGTTTTCATCATCTCCACTTAATTTTGTCTCTGCCGTTGTGCTGAGCTCATAATAGCTCTGGGTTTGTGGCAACTCTTCTTCTCGACCCTCCATGGATGTGTCAAAGTAGGTTTTTGATCCTGACACGTGTTCTACAAAAACATCCGATCTGTCAAGTTCTGGACTTGACGTCAGAGTTTCTTGCGAAAGGTCTGTTTTTTGAATATCAGTGAGCAGTGGTGTGTCATGCAATCTACAGTCATTTGCACCATGCTGGTCCTCCTTATTAACCGCCTCAAAAACATCAGTTTTTTCTTTGCTTTCATTCATATTTGACCCTGACTCACTTGGTAAGATAATTCCTGCTTCTTCTTTTTCTTCTGCCATAAGTTCTGATGAGGCCTCTGTCACAACAACTTCTTTTGCTTCTTTTTCTTTAGACTCTGAAAGTAATTTTCTGTCAGTGACCTCTTCCTTCCCACCCTCTCTGTCTTGATTACCCTGCTCTGTTGAGGAAGTGCAGGGGAGAGGTTTCTCTCTATCAGAAAGAAGGGGAGGGCCAGTCGAGGCAGGTTCTTCTCCTTCTGCCTTTGCTCTTTGTTTCTCAGGTGGCGATGGTTCATCTTCCTTCATAGTGGACTCACAAGATGGTTTACTGACTCTCTCTTCTGGCTGGGCTGCGAGTTTGAAGGATACTGTACAACTTTGTGTCGGGTCATGTTAGCTAAAAGCTTTGCTTGCAGCATCCACAAAAGCTAGCCAATACAGTCAAGCCGGCGCCGTCTGCACATAGATACAGTAGCTCTCCATCAAGCAATACACACAGCACAGTGTATTTTGTGGCAGGCCACAACAGCACAGAGGGGGGATCACAGCACCTAATATAGCGTGCAGAACTGGAATGAAGGAATGAGTTGCATGATGTTAGATGACAAGAAGAAAATGATACCCGAACACACTGAATTCCTATTGCAATACAGGAGGATTTATAAAATATGGTCATCAACATGGTGATCAAAATAAGTTACTTTTATTTGATGTATAAATGGTGTTACTGCAATTTCTACTGCAAACATTGGCATACTGTGGATATGAATGAATTGTTACAGTGCACAAATTATAAAACTAATATTTGCAATATAATCTTTATTAAGTTTCACAATAGTGATGAGCAATGAGGGTGAATCTTATTATCCTAAGTGTGTTTTTAGCAACAATAGGAAATTAACTTTTGCTCTGGGATGAAATGAAAACAACAGTGAAACTGAAAGCAGTGATACAACAGACTCAAAATACATTCAGGACTGATTTGTGAGGCACCCATACATGTGGGTACTCTCAGAAACAGCTGCTTCACACACAATTATTCCAGCAAAACCCACATAAAAAATATAAAGAGCGATAATTCTAGCAACAATTACATCTACAAGGCTTTACAGTTTAGACAATGATATTTGCATTTGCAATGTAGCTGGCAATACAAAGGTGCAGAAATGGATTGACTGTAATGTGGTTGATCGGGCGTTCTGATGTCGCTCCGATGGAAAGCAAATGGTAATGTTTTGGATGAAAAAGCACAAACTCAAAATGCTGCCACGTCATTTTGCAACTTCAGGTATTGAAGCGGAAGCTTAAGGATTTCAGGGCAACAAAGCTGCAGGAAGGCTGGCAGCAAAGCCTCAGTTGCATTACAGTTCATTAAGAGTTTTTGAACCCGCTACAGAACACAAGAGGAGCATGCAAAATAGGTTACGGGCAGACGTACACTCACGCTGTACTCTCACACAAACTGTATGCACACACAGAAAACCACACACACCTTTTTGTGATGGGTTGTGATCACCTTGATGACTTCCTCCATTGAGGGCCTCAGGGGTTTGGGCTTGCTGGAAGCCCAAAGCCTGGGGCTCTGTTAAATAATTTGTTTGTTCTAAGAGCAAATCTCTTGGCTGCTCATATGTCACATCCTCTTGGTGACTGTTGAGCTCCTCTGGAGCCTCCTCCTTCTCATCCTGCTGTTGACTGACAACCTCTACTTTATCATCTTTGGGCGGGGAAGGAAGACGCATAGATGAGACATGGAGGATGACAAAACTGGGATTACATGGTTTACAAGATACTTTCAGCTCTGATGGAGATGCATGGGATGCAATCGACAAGACTTCTAGCTTGGTCTTTATAATTAAATACATAATATTTAACGGTTTGCATACTAGATGTAGAAGCGGTTACAGCATCTTACTACAATAGTATATAACAGTATATAACAGGGGTCCCCAATCCCAGTCCACGAGGGCCGGTGTCCCTGCAGGTTTTAGATGTGTCCTTGATCCAGCACAGCTGATTTAAATGGATAAATGACCTCCTCAACATGTCTTGAAGTTCTCCAGAGGCCTGGTAATGAACTAATCGTGTGATTCAGGTGTGTTGACCCAGGGTGAGATCTAAAACCTGCAGGGACACCGGCCCTCGTGGACTGGGACCCCTGCTCTAAGCCATCTGTCTTTTTATTCATAGACTGTACGTAAAAGATGGGCGTAGCCTCTGTGTCAGAAAAGTGCCTTAAAGTTAAGTCGGTATTTGTATTTTGAGGTTATTTAATATAAAAAAAGGGATATTGTACTTATAAATATACATAGATAAGTTATTATTAAGCTATTAAAAGTACATATGAGTGGGTGCTGGTTTGTGGAAGCTGCCATGTCACCCTGCCATCTTGAATGCAGTTGCTAGGAAGAACGGTTTATATATTTGCCCATAACTGACAATGAGCTGGCTAAAAATAACAACAGCTGGTTATAGGCTAATAAAACTCACACTTTACTTCTGATTAACAGTTTGATTAGGTTCTTACATGGTATAAGAGTTTATTCACTAAATGTCTGAGTCCAACAATGTTACATTCACTTCAAAGAAAGTTTCACTAACAGCAGGTAACAGAGGCTAATAGCAGCTAAGTGAGGCTAACAGCAGCACTCACTAACATAAAATTTCAGGATAGCCTCAATAACTGACCTCAGTATCACTGTCATTGGAGAGAAATGAGCTTCCTTGATTCACTGACCTGTATTGACCTCCTTTCACAAAGTTTTACAGCCTCCTTCTAAGTAAATAAAGCACGATGCCTCTCACCCAGCATTGACAGCTGAGGTAAACAGTGGCCTAACTGCCTACACCATCGGGCGATCTGGTCCGGAGTTGCTTTTGCCGTGTGAGAGCACTTACTACAGGTGAATAGTGCCCAAAGCTTTTGAGGTGACTACAAAATATTAAACTGATTGTTAATTGACTGTATTAGATTTCCTTCTTTTTCCTTATTTATTGCTAAGTGTTGATATTATTCAAGTATCTTAAAATATAGTGTGTACAACATTGCACTTCTTACACACACAGAAGCAGAAACATATCGACCAGCCTCGTCGGTTATGGGGTACAGTCTAATTTTAATATTTTTTATCTGTCTTTGATGACTAAAACATGTTTGTCCTATATCAATCCTTGATTGCAATCTACAATTTACTGAGATCTAGCGGTACAAAGTTTAGATAGTATAACTTTAAACCTGTTGGCCAGAACGGGGCGACTCGTCTAGCAGATGGAACAATAACAACCTTATTTGTCACGTCTTTTACAACCCCAACAGACATTTTCCTGAAGAGTGTGGCGTCTCATGTACTAGCTTCAATTCTTATTGAGTAGAAAAGCCATTTAAAGTCAACATTACACGAAATCAGTGTATGATTAAGCGCGCGACCTCAGAGTCAGATTCATTCTCTCCCACCTCAGGTTTCAAAAAGCTAAGATGGCAATGACTGAAAAAAAAGCATTACTTCACAAACCAGCTGTCAAAGTAGCTATTTCAATCTTTTTAATACGGTCTATGAGCATATCTCATTATCCCACAGATCTAAATTTCAGACACTGAGTAAAGAAACTAACCCTAAACCATGCAGTGAGACTATACAACGCTACACTTTTGTAATTGCATGCCACATGTCAAGAAGAAACACGCAGATATGTTAAATAGCTGAAAGTCAGACTTGGAAAAAATCAATACACAGAGTGAGATAGGGAACAACAGAGGAGATGCTGAGGGGTGGAAAGCAGACTAATGAAATGAAGGACTCCAGTGGCTGGTAATGTACCATTGCCTGAATGGAGGAAGAGTGTTTGTGTTGCCTAGTCCTTGTGTGCAGGGTTCACGACTCAACTAACTGTTATGTGTTTTAAACCAATGCAGGAGTGTGGACAGGACAGGGCGGCATGCTATGCATGCTCCAAACTCCTTAAAGGTGATATGACGATCAGCTGGCATGCAGACAGAGCACCGTGAAATTAAACGGTAGGGGGAAAAGGAAAGAGAGAGAGGAGGAAGAGGGTGCCCCATCTTTAAATCCTAGGGACAAGTGTGCTTGGGTGTCTTTTAGAGACTTTTGTGCCACTCTCACAGCCATTCACACCGTCAACCTGGATAGCCTGGATTGGCTTTAAGTGTGTATAGGTGTACCTTGTGCCACGGGCCCAATCTGCTCAGCGGATGGAGAGGGGGGAGGGGAGGGAGGCAAATTGGCTGAGTCATCCACTGCGAAGGAGAGAGAGAGAGAGAGACACACACACACACACCGGGAAGACAAGACATGGATGGGAGGAAGGAAATGAAGACGATTCACTCTGCTGACCTTATCTCTTTGTGAGGTCTCCCTTTGAATTCAGAGCTTGGCAGGTTGTGTGTGCTTCATGAATGGTAAGTGCTCAGCACAAGACTGGACGCTTTCTCTGAGATTTAATAAGTTGGGCCTTTTGTTTGCTGCCCGTTGAGGATAAATGCAAACAGACTCACTAACTTACCCAAATGATGCAGAGAAACTCTTTTTTTTAAAAAACATTTTATTAAGCTTTATAAGGCAGAATACACCCAAGATCAACACATCATAAACTTTCCAAATGTACTTGTTAGACGGTGGCACAAATATCATTGGTTCTCATTTAAATTCTAACATGGTGTTGTAGCACTGCATTATCTAAATTACAAGCTTATTTCTTGCCTAGTTTTTCTCTGTCTGTTTTAAGGGTTTATTCATTCAGTTTTCTTGGTATTTATTTATTCAGCTCAACTTTTTATGAATGCTTTTAGTAAACAATTTAATTGTTTATTGGCAGCAAACATTGCTGGAACCCTTATATCATGCAGGCGCTGGACCACAGAGAAGTGGATCTTGATGCTGTTTCCATGTAGATGTAATGCTGTCTGTTTAATGTTGTCTTTTTTTTTTTTTGCAGGCAACTAATTTGGTTGAGAATAGACTTTAAACAATGTATAGTGCTTTGCAAAAGTCTTAAAGCCACCCCTTGTTTCTTTATATTTTGCTCGAATGGAGCCAGACTTAATTTTTATTTTTAAAGGGCTCTTGAACAATAGTTCTCCAGGTTTTCTGAAGGACTTTCAAGTGATTAGTTGGACATTGGCATTTTCAGTCCAGCCGTTGTACCTGACCATTTTAAGAGGAATGTTTTTGTTTGCTAGCCACTTACACTGACCTGTGAATCATTCAAGTATAAAACACTCAAGGAATGAACCAGTTGTATTGTGTCTACATATAACAGACAACTTGGCAAAGAGCCAATTTTAAATTGTATCTTTAGACACTTTGTTACTAGCAGCCTGTCATAAAAACACATAATTTGTTCTCATTTCTTTAGTTGAAACTCTGAAAAATACCAAAGATAACACAGTTTCACATAAAATAGTATTTTTGCACCAACAATGTGATTTCCAAAGAGATTTTGAAAAATTTGCATATCTCATCATGGTGTGCAGTGTGTCCTTAAAAATAATTGAAGAAACTGGGCAAAACAAGAAGTATCAGGCTTAAAAAAACCCAAACCCTAAAATATTGACTATGTTTGGAGGAGGTCAGTAGAGAGGAACGAGAGTGACAGCCGTCTACAGCCATCTGTGAAACACGGTGGAGGCTCTGTCACGGTTTGAGCTGCATGTCAGCCAGTGGTGTTGGAAGTCTTGTCAAAATGTAGACACAGAAAAGTAGCATCAGATTTTGACTGTGCAATACAATCTGGAAACGATCTGATTGGCAGCAGCTTCATCGTTTGATTGACTGGCCTCTCCACAGCCTGGAACTTAACATCATTGAAGCAGTCGATTGGCAAGAGCTTCATTTTCAGCATGACAATGATCTTAAACTCACTGCCAAAATCATCAATGTTAGAAAAGAATAAAGCTGAAGAATAAAGCTGGTCACACCAATATCGACTTTCAAGCTCATTAGAAACTTTACTGCATTTCCATGGATGTTTGGACATTTCAATAATCACTGCACCTATTTCCCATTCTCCTAGTAAAATATAAAGAAAAGAGGCTGGCTCAAGACTTTTTCACAGTATAATAATATACTGCAATTATATAATAATTTAACCCTCCAGTTTTGTGCATTTGCTGATTGCTGATGATGATTATAACTGTTCGAGACAGTTTATCTATAGCCTAGTAGGTTTATAATCATAACTTTTTTGATAACTTTTTTCCCCTTTTTGGCTACTTTCATTTTTTGCTATTTGTTAACTTTTGTGCTCAATTTCAATCCGGTCCACTGCGCTCTTAAATCTTATTGTAATTCTACTTTGTCAGACGAGTTGAGCTGATCCTTCCACTTAACACCGTTTGGGAATCACCAATTTTACACCCACCAAAGAGCCATCACTGTACCTTCCCCAATGTCCTTCTGCCTTTGTTAACACAGCTACAGCAGACTGTCCATGTTCAGCACTCATTCAATCAAAACACTTTCATTTGTTCAAGTGCCTTCATGGGATTGACTGCTCTTGCCCAGCATGATGGAGCCAATCACAATCCTCACAGCTGTAGACCCATCTGGTGGTGTGTGCAGGCACTCCAATCAATGCCATTGATACAACTTTGCATGCACATGCTTTTGCACACGCTCGCAAACACACCGCACGCCTACCTGACGTCCCAGGATGCGCAGCCGCCCCGCCCCCGTGGTATCCATTCTCTCTATAGGCTGAGCTGTAGGCGGAGTAGCCATTCTCGCCATTCTCCTGGCCGTTGGAGGCCCAGTGCCCCTCTGGCTGCTGACCGTCTGCCATACCTGCCTGCTGGGAATCCGGGGAGGGGAAGGGTCACCTGTTGTGTCTAAGGGTGGGGGGCGGGAGAAAAGACAACGTATTATATAACAATAATAATAATAAACAGATGAGTCTTGGCAGAGATGAGTCTTTGCTGCAACAATAAGAGGGAGAAAACCCCCTGCGTGGTGAAGGTTACAGAATTGGCCACTAGGGGGAGCACTGTGCTACGCTGATGCTTTACCGGCCGGCCTTTGTCTCAGCATCCACGTGCTGAGACAGGAGGGAGAATATGTGCATCTCATTTGTCATGATTCATTAGTTTCTTTGTTTGGTCTTGCTTTTATCATAAAGGTGTATATGGCAACACCGCCTGATAAAATACATGCCTTCATTGTACGATTATTTGGATTAACCCCCCCCTGCCTCCCCCACAGAGTGCAGGGATGGAAAAAAAGCAGGTGATTAGTAAAAAACAAACAAATTCTCTCAATTTTTAATCCAAAATATGTGACACTCTGCTGTAGAGAGGCTATGACACCGTGGTTGAACACACCCTTGATATCCCATAAGGAGGCTGTTACCATGGCAACCACAACGGGCCTTAAGGGTAGTGGGGAGGGGGGGGGGGGGGGGGGGGGGCGTCCGGCAGATGGGTTTGACAGGCTCACCCTTTCAGTAGCAAACAAGTGCTCAATATGCACACAAATCTCGGAATATAACACAGCGACCACATTTCCACCAATTACAATAACAAAAAGCTTTGTTGCATTCAAGTACGTGCTGCTGAAGTATCTACGTTTTAATCAAGCCTCACTTAAAGCTATGTTTTACCCTCCAGAGCAAACACATAATGTTGCCTCCCGTGTCTGCCATTCTCCCTAAACAGGATCATTATAAACAAGCAGCTGCAAATTATTTCATCATAACAAACCATCAAGAAGACTCCTTTCTTCTTCCTCTCCCTTCTGAGGCACAACCTTCATGCAGGCAGGGGCCGGTCAGTCAGACTTTCAGCAGAATGTTAATACATCTATTATACCCCCAAACTATGGAATAAAAATAACCATCACGCCAGCGATTGTGTCGCCTCATCCTTACACTCCTTTCCTGTCTCCTTTCCCACCCGCATGATGACAGGCCCGCAGTGATCGGGGCTAATGTCTGCTGCAGTGTGAGGCTCAGACAGAGAGGGAGAGAGAGAGATGAAGAAGGAGTAGAAGGAAGACCTACTGACACTCAAAGATACTAGGCCAAACTGTCTGAGACTAAAAATCTCAGCCCAGGGCTCAGTCTAGTCCCAGCTGTTGCTAAGGAAGAAAACTGGTGCGCTGACAGCCACATGGTGCTCATGGTGGTTCAGAACCGCTCTGACCTGCTTTTAGCTTCTTTTTCAGCAATATTGTGCCACACTTGGCATTCACACATTGTCCCTGCAAAGGATGTCATAAACCCTGGCTGTTTAAATAAAGACGTTGAGTAAAAAAACAGGTTAATTTACAGAGTTTTGGGCCAATTAAAATCTTCAATTAAAGAGTACTGCCTGTTTACAGTACTATTAAATTACACATTGACCTTAGGAGCAGAACATGTATTTTTTCCATACTTCTTAAGGATACTGATAAATAAAATTAAAGCAAAGACATTCAAGAAACGCGTGTGGATTGGTGTGCTTCTAAACAGCATCCAGACATGATCAGGACGACCTGCTGAAGTTTAAACTGAACATCAAAATGAGGAAGAAAGGTGATTTGTTCTCCATTCTGCATCCTCCATTCAACAGTGATCAGTATACAGAGAATGATATGAAAGAGCAAATATCCTGAGGAGAATAGCCAGACTCCTTTCAACGGATAGGATGGTAACAGTAACTCAAGTAATCTCAAGAAGACCACACTGAGTGCCACTCCTGTCAGCTAAGCAGGAAACTGAGGCTACAGTTCACACAGATTTGCCAAAACTACACAACAGAAAATTGGAAAATTGTTGCCTGGTCTGGTGAGTCTCAATTTTTGTGACATTCAGATGTAACTTGATTTAAACAACATAAAAGCATGGATCCATCTTGCCTTATCACGATTCAGGCTGGTGGTGTAATGATGTGGTGGATATTTTCTTGGCACCTTTTGGCCTCCTTATGGCCTCCTTAGTACCAACTGAGCATCCTTTAATTACCACACCCTACCTGAGTATTGTTGCTGACTATGTCCATCCATTTATGTCCACAGTGTACCCATAACACACCCATCAGGTGTCAGAAAGTTCACCGAGTTCACTGTACTCAAATGGCCTCTGCAGTCAGCAGATCTCAGTCTGGTAGAGCACCTTTGGGATGTGGTGGAGATGGAGATTCTCATCATGGATGAGTAGTTGGAAATAACAACTCTGTGATGCTATTACTTTAATATGGTCTTAATATGGTGTTTGGTGAGTGTATAAACAAGCAAATTCTGATTTTTTTAAATCCCCAGATTAGAATTATACTTAATTTATTCTGTGACCTTTGGACTTAAGTAACACTTTATACTGAAGTCACACCAAATTGTCTATTTTTTTCTGTTGTTTGGCTTTGCCAACTCTCCAGACCTTGCTCTCCAGGCACACCCTGTCATCCTCGCATACTTAACATGATTCGACATTGCCCTCTCGCACCGGTTCCCCTTGGTTGTTTACCAGTCTTAGTGTGTTAGAAAGGGATAAAGTCTGCAGTGGCTATTTTCCAACCACAACACCAAAAAATTAGAAGATTAAATGAGGCGTATTCTGCAGTGATGAAAAGCCCTATAACAGTTTTCCTCTCATGTTTCCCACAGCAATCCCTCTCTTTTAAGACACAAGATACTTTAAGAAATACACTCTGCAGGGTTGAACAGACAAAGTGCAACAAAATGAAGTTTGATCTTTATATTTTTAGGCATTTTTTAGATACAATCCTAACAGCAATAGCACAGCATGAGGACCATCACATTTTTCTAATGCTTAGAGGGTTAGCTCAACAGCACTAAGAGTCAAAAGTGATCCGTCAAATTCCATCACATCTCGAGTTTGATGCCTTAAATGAAACGTTCCAGCGTGATCGCTCGCAGAGAAGAAGAAGAGAAGGTGTGGCAGCAAGCCTGAGGCTAATCGGACATGAGTGGGTTTCTCTTCTTCGTCTTTCTTTCCTCTTTTACTGTCATCGTCTCGCGCTCTCATGACCCCCTGCTGCGCTCCTCTCTACCTTCCACCCCCAGCATCTCATCGCACCACCCAAGCTCTAATCCCACCACATTTCCCTCCCTGTCTGCACCTCATCCCCCCTTCCAACCCCACCCCAATCTGGGTCACCCATCATGCCTCCGTAGAGCGCCACTCACATCGGAATGTCACCATCCATTTAGGATGGAGGATGGAATCTCTGGCAGCCTGTCTCAGTAGGCCAACCTGGCCTTAATCCTCTGTGGGAGAGGCCGAGTGTGTGTTTGAATGTGTGTGTGTGTTGGAGAACCTTTGTGTTTGCAGCTAGGATCAGCACGGTCACTAGGTAAGATTTTCTACACCACACTACAGATTAACAGTATCATTTAATCTCTTCTATTTACTTTTGAGCAGACTAATCTCACGATAGTATCTACTGAATATCTGTATGAAATGAACGTGTTATAGAGATATAGATATTTTATTTATTGTTCGTGTCTTTTTTCAAGCAAATCAGCTTGTTACACGCGCATTGGTGCACTGAATGATGGCTGACTGTCACACTGAACAGAAGAACTGTGAAGTACTAAAGGACAAAAAAGTTTCCCGTGACCTGTAATCAACCCAGAATCCAGTGGCTTCCTCCTCTGGCAGCAGATGGACAGATTATGTTTTGCTGACTCAGCAGAACATGTGGCGGGGGGCTGGGGGGGTATGAAGCGTAATGAGTGCCTTCAGCGAAGTGTGAATGAACTGTGTAAATGCTGGAGAGCAGCACGATGAGCGAGGCACGCGCACACACAAACTCACAGCCGTGAACACGAGGCAGGGGTGATATCCACTCCTTACAGATTAAGTGCCGTAATAACTGGGGTAGAGGTGCCCTGAGATTATATTAGCACCTCTTTCAAAAGCACTGTTTTCTAGATAATGTTGATATTACTCAGTAAAAATACATTAAATATTTTAAATCACGTGATAATAAAACTGTAAAAAAGCTCAAGGTTGTTTGTGTCCTACTTTTTATTTATTAATACTTTAAACAATAACCTGAGTATCAAAAACTAATGTCACCAGCCTTTCTTTTTGCTGTGTTTACATCACTATGTATCTGCATTCCTATCAAATAACTGCTTCAAGAGATCTAAGTGACTGTATCCGGGTCTCCTTCCCTTTCTTTGGTCACAGTCCAGATCTGTCCATGTATCTCCTGCCAAGAAGATGAGCTAGACTCATACATGGTAAAATAAGATTTTTATCGACTCATAAAACTTGACGATTGATGATTACTTAGTTTTTTAAAATGTCTTTTATGTTGCTGCCTCGTGTCTCGGTGCTCTATTTTTTCTCTTCTCTTCTCCATCACACTCTTCCAGTCATGGTGGATGGCTGCCTCTCCCCGAGCTCTTGGGTCTCATGAAGGACTCTTACCTGTTAAAAGGGAGTTCTTCCTCCCCACCGCTGATAAGTTGTTCCTCAAAAGGGATCGTAAAATTGTGGGACTGTGGAATATAACCTCCTTAAACCTCTTTAATTTGTCAGTAATGATTGGGGTTCATATATACAGTTTTACTAATAAACTTTTCAACATGTCCACATACATGTCCCTAAAGAGGACAATATAACAACACTGGATGACTGATTTGACTGATAAGTCCTGTAGGTTTTGAGGTGGAGGCTCCATGGATCAGACTTTTGTCCAGCACGTCATAGATGCTGGATTAGATTGCGATCTGGGGAATTTTGAGGCCATTCCTGAACCATTTTTACTTTGTGGCAGGGTGCATTATCCTGCAGAAAGAGTCCACAGCCAGCAGGGAGTACTTTTTCCATGAACTGGTGCACATGGTCTTCAGTGCTTAGATACATAGTTTGTTTTCAAACCATGACACTTGCCGGTCATGTGAGCAATGCACATGAACCCAACTATCCACATGATGTAAAAGAAAACCTGATTCATCAGACGAGGCCATCTTCTTCCATCGTTCATGGTCCGGTTCTGCTGCTCATGTACCCATTGTGGGAACTTGTGGATAGAGGTTAGCATGGGCACTCTGACTGATCTGTGGCTATGCACGTTCTTCTGCAACAAGCTGTGATGAACAATTTGATATGCAGTAGCTTGTGTGCTGGATCAGACCATACGGGCCAGCCTTAGCTGCCCATGTGCATCATTGACCTGTGGCCACCCATGACCCTGTCTCTGGTTCAGTGCTGTTCCTTCCTTGTATCACTTTCAACAGAAACTGATCACTGCAGACTGGGAACACCCAGAGGAGCTGCAGGTTCGGAGATGCTCGGAACGATTCATCTATCTATCACAATCTGGCCAGTTTGTCAACCTTGCTCAAATCCTTATGCTTGTCGTAATGGTCATAATGTGATGTCTAACTGGTGTATGTAAGTTATACTTGGTAGGTTTTAACTTAACTTTAACTTATTATTACTGTTAGTAATTTCTGAGCTAATTTCCTTGACCCTTCCAAAATTTCTCCAAGCTTGAAAAAAATCCTTTAAATTTGTACATATGTGCATTAGTTAAACACATTGCCTGCTGCAGCTGTCACCAAAACACGATGTAGGCTGAACTGATATGTGTTCATCACACAAACAAACCCATACAGGTGCTTAGTCATCATCATAGTAACCATGACAATATATTCACTTTATGTAATCTAAATGCTCCTCACTCGAAAACAATGACAACAGTAAGTTCATTAATGTGTGCTGTGCAGTTCATTTTAAGTAACCCACACCTGCAAACTGATGTTCCCCCTTTTAAGGCAATTCAGGGTTGAGTTTAACTGAAAGCAACTGCTGGCTTTCTGCACCCTTTATTTTCAGCCCCCAACCTCATCATAGCAGTAGATGTTCCCTGGCATGCATCAGCCCCATCCTGCAGTGATGTCATTGTTTCCATGGTGATATAACAGCCAGTGCAACCAGTAGAGGAGTGTGACTTTGACCACGTTATGGATCCACAAAGAGGTCAGCAGAGCCTGCAGGATCCGGGGGGGGGGGGGGGGGGGGGGGGGGGGGGTCACAAATGGGAGCGGAGCCGTTTAACTCATCAATATCCTGATAGCTGGTTACAGGTTGGGCTCTAGATGTCATTTTAGGCTTTTATGCTGCTGGTGGTGCTAATGGGGGCGGTATTAATTATATATTTTTGCATGTAGACTCTTTAGTTGCTATGACAGTAAGAAAAATACCACACAGCAGGATTTAAAAGAGAAATAAATCAAGAATGTATGCCTTTCATGCTTTGATTACAAAAATAATCAATAAAAGAAAAAGAAAACTTGAGAAAACTCCTAATTTTGTTAATCATCTTGCAACCCTTCCAGTTTAGTCTTGGCTCCTATTGTCGTTTCCCACACCTTTTGCTTTTCAAAAAAGGTTACAGCCAGATTGTTTAGATACATAAGGAGCACACATCGAAAGAAAAACAACACAGTCAAGCATAATAAACTGCATAATCAAAAACTGTTTGCTTCTGCAGTATCTTCCCCGGCACATCTGTGTCAGGTGAACCTGTGCATTCAATGGTGTCAGCGTAATTGGCAGAATCACTGCTCCCCCTGGTGGAGCCCCTGTTCCAAAATCGACACCTATACTGTATGTTCAACTAAAATTTGCAGCTGCCCAAATGGACAAGCCAGATGCCTTCTGGAGAAAGGTTTTATGGAGAGATGAGACAAAGACTGAGATGCTTGGTCACAATGACCAGAGGTATGTTTGGAGGAGTAAAGGTGAGGCTTTCAAACCCAAGAGATGACTCAGTTCATCTCGGCTGGAGATGGTTTGCTCTGCGCCGAGTCAAACTGGGATATCAGAGAGGAATCGCTGACCTGACGTCAACTGAAATGAAGTTACTGCTCAGAGACATGTAGACGGGGTCTACAGTAAAGATGGTGTAAAAGAAATGAATTCAGCGTCTGAACACCATACAGGTGTTTTTTTTTTCTTGTTTTTATGCCACTTCATTTTTTAGTTCTTTTACTTGTTTTTTTACACTACTTTTTGACTGTTTATATGTGAAAAGTATTTAATAAATAAATAAACTTACTTAATTACTTACAACACTTGGAGGCTGAGGTACAGCTTTGCCAGGATCCTCAGATACGCACATATCGACAGACAGTTAAAGAAAAGAAAACTATGTGAATTAAAGACAGCGTAACGAAGCCCTATAGCTGTGAAATACATCAAAGCTCGTTTTGGATGTATCTCCTGAAGGCTCAGTGCTAATAATTTCGGGTTTTTTTAGCTTATTATTTCGTTTTTATTATGGTATTAAAGAGTGGAGGCAAATCTCTACCAGCCTACCGTGCCCACCAAGTAGACAGTGGACCATTCATGATCATGAAGAGCTGGAATTACACTTGTGAACTGAATAACTTTCTATTATTGACACATCAAACAAACGGCTGCCAGGACAAACAGGACAACTGTGACATGTTTACACAGCACGAGCTCGCCGCCGTGTTTCTCAAAACTTCCTGTCTGTCAGCCCAAGCCCTCTCTTTATTACCCAAACTGAAGTGAATTTTGATGCCAATTACTGCACTACCGCACTTGTATACACCTACACCTACGCACACAATCTGCTAGAAATCAACTGACACGTACACAAACACCCACCGGCTCACGCAAACAAACACAGCTCAAATGCATCCAGAAGTCGTTGCTTAGGAGCGAGCGCGTTGTTAACACAAGCTAGATATAGAAACAGATGGTTGTGAAATCTCCGTCCTGCCGCTCGCTCTGTCATTTCTCTCTCTGTGACGCCACTCAAACACATATCAGCGGGAAAACACAAGATTAGACTTTCAGCTTAATGACTCCTTTTTGGCATACAAAAATATCCGTCATGACACCAACGCAAACAATCATTTCTCTTCTTTGTGAGCATAATTCCCCCTCTATTATATTTAAATATATATATATATATATATATTTGACAATAGTCAAGCTGATCCTCTGGCTGAGTGCAGTCACTTAGAGCTGGCTCCCTGGGCCCCATGAGTCATGGGAAAACTGAGTGTGAAATGTCATGGGGGCATTTGAGCAGAAGTAGTGAATCTGGCAGCAGGTTTCCTGCTTTTGCTTTTTCTTTTCTTTATGTCACTTTAAAAGCTCTCATTAAGCCAGAGTTTATCAGCGATGTCTCTAGTAGGTTTATATGTATATAAGGTGGCTCTGCAGATGGCAGCGATGGTGCGTCATTTTATCTCATGGAGGTAAAATCGGATGGAGCACATTTATTAAGTTGTTCAAGACCAGAGTAGAAAACAACTCATCGCTCTCCGCTGACTTTGTTTTGCATGAAACTGCATCCTTGTCAAACTGAAACATGCTTAGCTGCAGCGTGACATGCAAAAATGAGTTTCATATAAGTTGCTGAACATTATTTCTGTAATATTGTAGGGTCTACACCTACTTCTAAATTGCATTGAGATGCCACTTATAAATTTAAATATCCACTTTTTAAATAAGTGGATAAAGTTCTTTTTAAGTAAAGTTTTTTTTGTTGTTGCTGTAGTTCAGGTTGTATTAGCATGGTATTTATATCATTGAGCCAGCTGTGGGTAACATTATTATGTTCACAAGGGCCCTAGCTGTGTCCTGTATGGAAAAATGTTATGTTTGTAGCCGACTGTTCCCCTATGCCATGCTTTTCAGAGCATGAGTCACTGTGTCTATGTTCTTTGTTCTGGAGTGAAATAACTCATCAGCCATTCATGAATTTATTCAATGTTGTTACTGTAACACCTTTGAAGCTGTGTTTTTAACTAAAATACTGAGAAGAATTCATGTTAAAACTGTGTTGGCTTACCGAAGTTGAAAAGCTGTCGTCGGTGATCAATGAGATAGGAAAGCGACGAGCTGAGGCGTCTTCTCTGTGAGGGAAAAAAAGAATACATGTTAGGACATCATTAAACTGTGGAAAAAAATGTTTAACTTGTAACATCCTTCTCTCTAAAAGAGGAGCTGTGTGTCACTGGGTCAGAAACAAGCCTAAGCTGCTTTAATTCACCAACATCTTTACATTTAAACCTCTGAATCATGTCTAGCTAGTCCTGAATCAAATGAGGGGCGTTTTCTACATGACAGCTTTCATTTTGGACTGTGCTTGAAGCAGCCGGGCGGGAGACATGCGTGCGCGCAGCAGCTTAGCTCTGTCACCTGGAGTCTGCCGGCAGCGTTAATCCGATCGTCAGCGTGACCTTTCCTCTCTTTTAAGCTGCCGCTGATGCACAACAACAAAGCCAGAGATGATCTAATCTATTCACAGTGTCAGCACGTGTGAATATTTTTTGCCTGTCTGGGTGTTTTATTTTCTCATTATGGGCTTGAGTGTCATTGCAAGCATTGTTTTATTGTTGTTGTTATTGCACATGCTTTCTTTTGCAAAACCATATGAAACAAATGGTTTTGTTCTCTAACAAGATCGTACTGTTTGGTTTTCCTTCAAAAAAGCAAGATTTCCTTTTAATCTGTAACTGACTTTGTAGGGTAAGTGGGTTAAGGTGTAGGTTAGCATACGTTAAAAGTGATAATGGGGAAATTTTAGCTAGCTTGGCTCTGGTAAAAGTTGACAAAAACCAACTATCAGCACTTCTAAAGCACAACTCTCATTTCTTGAGAGAAGCAGATGTGGATCAAAAGCACCAAAACTGCAGTTCCTCTAATGGCCACTTGAGGATGCCCCCAAAGGCGATCAATATCCATTGACGCCCATGTTAAAACTTTACAGCAGAAACAAACATGTTTGGAGACTGACATGAAAAACTCTTTTGGTATCTACTACGAATTTCCCCAAGTACTTTGATACATTTTCACTATGTAAAGTTCTACAACGTGGTCGCAGTTTTTATGTGGCCAAAAAAATAAAAAATAGAAACAGAAGTCATTAGGATAGCTTCCAATTCAATTGTAGGGATGATAATATTCTAAAGAATAAATCAAAAATAATTATCTTCCACAAACAAGTGATTACAAGAGTGTGCATGCCAAACAGACGCACTCCATGGCGAGCTGCTTTTAAGATTTATCAAATTCTTGGATCGGACCGCTGGGGCTGAGCCAGGGGATGAGTTAAAGCTTAAGTCGGCCATGAAGAAACACAGATTTGCACGTTTGCTCTGCTTTGGGACTGTAAGGAGGCAGAACACAGAGCATCCTGTTAACATTAAAACAGTGTGAAAGGACCGTGGGGGAGTTCTGGAGCCAAAAACAGGCATTCGGAGAGAGACACCGAATGCAACAGAGGGCTGAATGAAGGAGAGAGAGGAGGGGAGAAGAGATTTTCCAAACAGGAAAGGGGGGGGGGGGGGGGGTGAGTTATTAGAGTAGAAAGAATAAGAGGGGAAAAAGTGGGGAAAAGATAACTCACAGAGGAGGAAAGTCAAATATTTCCTTCTTTTTTTTTTTTTTAAAAGAATGAACATCTCTGCAAGTGACAGAACAATGCCACTGTTATTAATGTTGTCTTGCTCGACAGTAATTTTTTGTGCTTATGCTATTAACCCATGTGGTCATGCTTAACTTATCAGCTTTAGCCTTTAGCTATTAAATTAAACCACAAGGTCTCTTGTAATTTAAGACATTTTCATTCGTCTACTCAGTTGATGCACAGAGTAGGAAATGTATTTACTAATGCCGCTAATGCTTGCTGAAAACTATACTACTATTTTAGCAGTTTAAGGTTATAACCACATGTAAATTGTACAGAAAGCAGATTTTTATTATGAATGTTTAAAGTTTCTGAGTTACAGGTGAACTTTCAGTATTTCCCACGCAAAGACTTTATACTTTCAATTATATGGAAACTCATTTCTGTATGTTTGTTTATATGTCTTTAATGGTTCATCACCATATGCAATCAGATTACTAGTGGATAATCTCCTGGCCCTTATTTTGAAAACCCAGCCCTTGTGATATCCCACCAGTCTGCTTGCTGGACAGGTTCCTGTTGTGGCTGTCCTCTTTATTATTCAGCTGCTTTCCAAGAACCTGGAACTAGCAGAAAACAGTTTTCACACGACTCTTTGTCCTTCCTCTATAGCAGGGGTGGGCAACTCCAGGCCTCAAGGGCCGGTGTCCTGCAGGTTTTAGATGTGTCCTTGATCCAACACAGCTGATTCAAATGGCTAAATTACCTCCTCAACATGTCTTTCATTCTCCACAGGCCTGGTCTGTTGACCCAGGGTGATATCTAAAACCTGCAGGACACCGGCCCTCGAGGCCTGAAGTTGCCCACCCCTGCTCTATAGGAACCTCCTGGATACACCCTTACTAACATCAGAGGTTAAGAATTAAGAGGTTAAGCGTACTGATGATTGATAAGTCTGAGCATCTCTATAAAAGCATTAGTTTTGGCAGTTTGCAGGTCAGTAGCATTCAGGTGTGTGCTAACACAATGCCACAATATTCCCAGGAGTGGACATTTCAGTAAATTCACCATAACATCATAAATTCATAAATTCACCCTCAGCTTTCAATTCTGCTCCAGTCAGACCCAGAGATGTTTAAACTCCTCCACTTTGGGCAGCAACTCAGCTATAAATCAGGCGGAAATCCTTGGGCTACAATCCCCGGCTTCCAAAACTACCCTCTGGTACAATGAACATTAAAATTTTAAATATTTTCGCTTATTTTGCTTCAGTTCTATTTTTCTTTAATTAGTTATCCATCTGCATACAGACAGAACCAGATAAAAGGCAGGCAGGCTCTCTGAAGAAAGGCAGAGAAAGAAAAAAAAAAACTAAGATCATACAGGAAGTAATGTCTCTTACAGAGGAGAGCTGCCCAGCCAGGGAGGCTTAGCCAGAAAGAGAAAGGGATGAAGGGAAAGAAAGAAACTGAGAGACGTATAGTTACAGCTCCGTCCAAAAATATCGGGAGCGTGACAGGAATAGAACCGCTGGACTGAGCACCACATGTTTTTAATGGTTACAGTAAATGATCCTGTCTCTCACACAGCAGCTGCCCTGTTTATGAAACCCAAATGTTCCTCAGCACAGTTCGTCATTCTTTTATTTTCAAAAGTGCATCCATCTTCATTACTCATGAGTAATTCATTATTAAGTGCAACTTTTCCTCACTGTAGGATGAAACCAATTAACAGGAGTTGCTTAACTGAGTAAAAAAGTATGTTTTTGGCCTTCTCATGACTGTCTCTTTGTCTCTGCAAAGCACCAGAATCAGCAAACACCCACTGATTTCCCCAGACTGCTTTTTAACAAAAACGATATATCTAAAGAGTTTCTTATCTTATCACCAAACTCATTAATTCAAGCTTTTACAGGATGATAATTTGACATCTTCACAATCTTATCAGTCATCCAAAGCGACTGTCAACCCACCAGCGCATCATCTTCATCGGTTTAAAAACAAACAAAAGAACAAAGTGCAAGGTGGAACAAACACGTCATTACTCATCAGCCCTTGGAAAGGTCGAACACAGATGACTAGATACTTTTTGTGCATCCTGACATCCAACTTGACCCGCATACGCCTCCCTGGAGGAGGGATTCCAAGTGGGTCAAACAGGGGGCAAACTGAGAGAAGACGGAGGAAGGATGGAGGAAGGCGGAGATGGAGGTCAGAGGGCGACATAATCCACAGATTTGCCCTCTTCATCAGAAATGAGGCAAACAGGAAATTAATACTTATTTTAGTGTCGTGTGAAAGGCCCCGACAAAACCTCGCTCAACTTCTCTGAAATGAGAAGAGGCAAAAAAAATGGCAGAAAGACACTTCCAGAATTATCTGGTTGTGTTTTAATTGAGCAGCCTCTCTGCATTATTGGCAGTTTCTAACTCTGGCAAATGACCTGCAGAGTCTTGGAGATCCAAATCCGAATTTCACACTGAAGCCTTTACAAACATACATTAACTAAAAATCAGTGGAGAAGACACTTGATCTGTCTCACTTGATCAGGTCAATTTCGACATTTCTTCAAAGGCAATTAACTGATCTTAATGCTGAAACCCTGAGAGAAAGCTCACAATGAGCCGTACTCTTATCCTATCCTTTGGATGCCAAGAAAACTCATAAATAAGCAGTTTTCCCCATCACAGCGTTCCCCCCTGAGCACAACATTAGCTCCAACCCCTCAACACGAAACCATGGCTCAGCCTGTACACTTCGTCATTTGCAAATCTCAGATAGGCTGCTTAAATTGCATCACTGTGCAAACAGTTGCTGCTGACTCTGCAAGCTTCTTTGCAACCCACTGTCACTTCAGTTCTTTTACTTTTGAAGATGTCTATTGTATTTGCTGATGTAGCTTGTCAGTAATGCTTTACCCACCACCAGGTGGTCCAAGAACAGCATTTCTGCCACATATAAATTACTGCAGCTGGCACGACCATCCAAAACTAAAGTGGCCTTCATAGAACTCATACATTTTTTGCTTTCTCAACAATGTCACAGATTATGATTAAGTTTAAAGGTTTGGCTGTGGCTCAGAAGGTAAAGCAGGCTATCCACCAATCAGAAGGTTGGAGGGTCGATCCTTGGCCCCTCTAAGTTATGTATCTTTGGGCACCCTGAGTTGCCCCTGATGCATTCGTATGTGAACATTAGATTAAAAGTGCATTAGAGGTGGGAATCACCATACATCCCATGATACGATATTATCACAATACTTAACGCACGATACGATATTATTGCAATTTTTTTAAATATTTTGCGATATTCAGATTCTGTACATAAAGGTAAACTTTATCAATATTCATTTTATCTAATATCCAAGTCTCACACTCAGTCTTTCTCTCATTTCAGTCAGTTTTATTGTTGACAAACTGAACGGCTTGTATTATAGTCTAGTCCAACTTAACTGAATGCAACCATCTGGTACAATTATAGCTATTCTGAACTATGCAACTTATGA